CGACAACAAAATAAATAATTTTGTCTGGGCGCTTTCAATATATGCAGTAACGTATAAATGCAAGCGTTTATTAACTATAGTTGAAATTGGCTAAATGCCGGACCACGGACCCGGTAAATTTCATTTCTCATTAAAATTATAGTGGAGCCCACGGTAAACATTCCGTACATTTTTATACTGAATTGACGGTTTATAGTCTGTATATCTGACTTGTGTTGAAATCAGCGACGGTGAAATTCTTGCGTCACAAAATACGCACTAACTAAATTTCATTGCGTCATGGCTGAAAATAGTGCGCCAAAAACGCGCTCTGGCAGAAACACTGTTGTCTATATATTATATATACAGTATATATTTTTTTCTAGAATTACTTTTTACACTATCCCATCACTGTGCTGGGTCCCTGTGGGTTAAACCACTGATTATCACTCCTGAGGTCCCGGGTACGATCCTGGGTTACACCCTTGGGATTTTTCAGAGGCACTTTCAGTGTTTCCCACCTACCTAGAGGTGTTACTGGTAAGAAACCGAGGTAATCCTTGCATGTAACAGTAACAGTATCAGTGCTTTACGCTGGGCATGTAAAAGAACCAAGGGGTTTATATATTCAATAAGAGCTAGGGATTGTTTCCCGGATTCCCTTGTATCTCATAGCTGAGTGTCTCTTTAATGTATACCTGCTTAGAGTGATCGCAAACAATTTTAAAGCAGTATGATACATGTAGAAGTAGAAGATTTTATTGTTTTGTTTATTTTCCTAATTAATATGAAATTAGACAAAGCCTATGAACAGGTAAGATAAAAAACAACATTTTTCTGTTTTAAAGGTATCATTTGATATTTCATGCATCGCTTACGTTTTCAGTCGGAATACTCGACATTTATTATCATCCGAAAAGTTGCGATTGTTCGTTATCGGAATACCCAACCTATTATCATTGAGTTAATTATTGAAAATGGTCTGACTTGAACTGACACTGATAATTTCATTAATAAGGTATAGAATTCTATATATTCTTTTTTTGTTTTTTATTTGATTTTCTTTTAAATATACATGTGTATAGTCTATAGCCGGGCAAGCCAAAGCCCAAGCCCGCTTCACGGTCCCGACCTTTGACTTCCCAATATTAAAATGAATAATAAGAAATTCAGGTGTGGAAAGCTCATTTTGTTTAATATCAAACATAACATGTTCAATATACATGTAAAACTGATCTTTCGTGCATTTCGTAAATAAGTAAAGGCAGGGACTATAAACAGAAATGAATAAATTGGTGGTGTTCAATCTGCTATACCCGAAAATCTCCAAACTCTTCATAGTGATTTGATTGGCTAAGCTATGAATAGCAAAGCAAAGGTGACCACTTTGTCAGAGTTTGGAAAATCTCGTTCGCCATTTTTGTTAATCTCTAATCTATTATCACAGTTAATTTTTGATATGTTGATTTATCAAAATGGATATGTAAAAGTAAATTTTTATATTTATCCTCATTACTATACATGTAGGTCTTATCAATGATAAGTATCGATGTTTATTTTCTTATTTTGTACATTATACTTCTACAGGAAGTGTTATATGGCACTGAAGACTGGCACGTCTAGTCTGAATTATGTAGATGCTTAAAAGCACCGTTATATCTATATTTAGCTCAAAAGGATTCCAAAATGGCGGCACCATGTAAATGTGATTGTAATTTAAAGTATTTTATCTATTCACATTATTCAGGTTATCTAAGAGAGCTCGGACTTTCAGTGTCTTATCACAGATATACATACTTCTATATTTAGCTCCATGTTATGATCAAACCCAATTGACTGCTTCCTGGATATGACATAACCAGTAATCAAAACAGTATGGTTTGTAGAAATCAAAAAAGAATTTCACCCCAAGCAGGATTATCCACAAGATAAGGAGTTTTATGCCCAAAACCTTTCCCTGTTTCTCTGATTATTTGGATTTTTTGTACTATACAGGTATGGTTAAAACTGATAGAATTAGTGCTTGGGTTTCCAATAACATAAAATTATCTACTTTGTCAGTGCTGATCAACCTACGTCATAATTCAGTTTAAAATCATACAACAGTAGATACAAAAAATTATTTATTCGATCACTAAATCCTGAGATGTATCATATTTTAAGATTCTACTTCAAATTTCATCATACTTTAAGTTTTAATGAATCCTAAAAGACAAATATTTCCTATGATAATGCATCTTAAACAATTAATTAAAAGTGGAACAAATGATTTGAAGTGATGCATAGAATAAAATCATCACAGTTTGACCAGCCTTTTGCATCCGATCAAATTCCCGGATAATACTAGACAGGGATTTTATGGGCTTATTTTATAGTCGATATTCAGTCATATTCCCAATGGAAAATAGTATATTATTTTCCCAATCCACAGGAAAAAATTCCCAACTGAAAGTAACAAAATAAAAAAATTGAATAACAAATTCTAAAATCTTTAATAATAAGGGCTTCTTCACTGTTATGCTGCTTAAATGTTTGAGGATGCCATGATGCCCATCTTAGACAGTGATTCTTTAATCACTGCAAAATTTAAGTCATGCTTTTTTTTCCAATTTTTAACAAAAATTGCTGAAATTCTCATTTCCTTTGGTATGTGTCATTGTTCCCAAAATTCTGGGAAAAAACCCTGAAAACAAAAAATTAACAAATTCTTTCCAATTTAAAAATAAAAATTACCACATAATAGACAATGAGAGATTTTTTTATATGAAACTTACACAAATAATACAGAAATGTTAATTATTATATTTCTTGTCAAAATAAATAATACGAAATAAGTAGTCAAATGCAAATACTTAAAATTCCCTGGCTTTAATATATACCGTTTGGGCAAGGACATACACTCCAGGGTTTCTCTTTTATGCCTAATGATAAAGTAAAACATCATTGTAAAAGACTTTTAAAAAGACTTCCTGGATATACATGTATCACTTGGATAATTTTATCACAAAATGGAATGAATTCAAAAGTTTTGTTTAAATTGCTTTCTCTCTCTATATATGTCAATTACTAAAAAGTATTTTGTATATATCTTAGTCAGTTTTACTGGTGTTTTTACTTAAAGCAGCTTGCCTCCAGATTCATGCTGATTTTCATGAAAAATTTGAAAATTTATTATAAAGTATAAAATTGTGAAGTAACAAAAAGACAGCAATTTACACATTATCAATGGAACTTACATTCAATGTTATTTAACCCTTTCCCCCATGAGCATATTGTGAAAAATGGCCATTTTCACTGAAAAGCCTCCTCTTACAAGTTCAAACTGCTATGAAACTATGAAAAATGCTTCAATACTAATCAAACTTGGCACAAATGTTGACTGGACCATTGCCTTTGTAACGACATGCTCAGTCTTAAATTTCCTGTTACCATGGCAACGAGGGGACATCTCAAAATTGCCAAAAATCACTATTTTGCCTCGTTTTTTCCATCAAATTTTATTTCAAAGTGCTGCAACTTCTCAACGGATTGAGATAGAGTCAAAGGCTTTTCAGCGTTGGTTACACGTTACCTTATGATCGACCTGGGGTCATTTTTAGCCTCTCACAAGTCCAAAATTTTCTTGGCGATGAGGGGGACTCCGCCCCCCTTCAAACCCCCCAAACAGAAGGGGGCACATCCCCCTTCTGGCAACCCCCTGATGTATCTTTTGGATGGGGGGCTGCGCCGAAAAAGTGCACACTTTTTTTAGCAACATTTCTCAAACGAAAGCATGTGTTTGAGGCCCAAATAGGACATTTTTTCACTATTTTAGGCCTAAAAAAAGGGGGGGGGGTCAAAAGTGCGTTGTTTCGCGTATATATGGGGTAAAGGGTTAACAAAAAGAGGTCAAAATATGCAACAATAGCCCTTACTGTGTTAGTAACACAGTAGAAATATAGATATAATTACTGAAAAATCTGCCATTAATCACACATTACATGTCAATTATTACTTGAAGCTTGAATCTTTTACTTTTCCTAAAATCTTAGTACTACTTTTTTCTCAAGTTTGATTTTATTGAAATATTTTGGCTCATCTGGAGGCATGCAGCTTTAATATTTAATTTGAATTATATTTTTTTTCCATAATGTTGTAATTTGTTATATAAAATGATGACAGACCTGAGTGTTAAGAATATGATTATTTACAGCATATTTGCCCTTATTTATGGTCATTCACTGGAAGAAATGCTATATTATAAAGTTTTTGGATTATCACAGATTAGCAGTCAGATCCCTGATAGATTATTCTGTCATATTATTGTATGAAGTCATTAAAACACTGGTAAAGATAAAATACCTGTTGACGGGCTCGTAAATATTTGTACTGTATCGAAAAGGAATGCTATAGATGTACCTGTATATATATGTATATGAACTTAAATGTACATATAAAATGTATAAACATGTATACAATTTTATCATGTACAAAAAATTGCTGGGTTTAAAATTAGAATAATGACAATGGAATTAATTAACTATAAGTGATTTAAAATTGTTTGATTCAAATTGATAATTTTAATGATTACAATCAAGATTAAGATAACTTTAGCATTGAAATGTTTAAGTTTATTATACAAATGTATTAAAAATACGAAATTTTCTGTATATGAATTCACAAATTGTTTCAAAACAGACAGAGTGTCAGAAAGTGTATTAGAATTTTCATGGATTTAAAATTCAAATAAAAAATTTGATTTTGGTGTTAAATTCAGAAGAAAAACAATTAATTGTGTATAATGAAAGAAAGAAAAAAAACAAATTTTAAAATTTTAGTACATAAGTACTGTGCAAACTTCAATGTTTAATCAACTGTAGTTGAGAATTTCTAATTAAATCCCAAATGAAAACAAGAACATTTGCATGACTTTAATTTAATATGCATTAATCTTGTAAAATAATTGTATCTGGCAGAGTTTTTGCTTTAATTATACAATTTATCTAATATTAGTTACTTAGAATAGATCTAATAATGCTACAGAATAATATGAAAAACATGGAAGTATGAAGATATATTTGGCTTTTACGATGATATTCTTTTGATGATGCAGAAAAAAGTAAATCTGTAAAGTTTCTTGGATCAGATCTTGTTAGGTCGGAATAATGATGGATGGAAAATCTAGGCAGAGGTATTTAAAATTTGGTTCAAATGTGTTTTGAAATTTTATATTTTTTTTCTGATTTTACCTAAAGATTTTGTTATTTATAGATTTTGATTGGTATTGATGATATTTTATATAAATAGCTGTGGAATCTTTATCTTTTTGGTTTAAAGTAGTGAACTTGCCCTGCAGTAAACTTGGAGTGGCTCCACTACCCTCGAGGTAACTCAGAGCACCTAAAATACCCTGGAGGACACTTGGAGTGGCACCACTACCCTCTAGTAAACTTGGAGCGGCTCCACTACCCTCGAGGGCACTCAGAGCGGCTCCACTACCCTCTAGTAAACTTGGAGTGGCTTCACTACCCTCGAGGGCACTCAGAGCACCTCCAATACCCTGGAGGACACTTGGAGCGGCTCCACTACCCTCTAGTAAACTTGGAGTGGCTCCACTACCCTCGAGGGCACTCGGAGCACCTCCAATACCCTTGAGGACACTTGGTGTGGCACCACTACCCTCTAGTAAACTTGGAGTGGCTCCACTACCCTCGAGGGCACTCGGAGCACCTCCAATACCCTTGAGGACACTTGGTGTGGCACCACTACCTTTTGCTAGGAACAAAAAAATTTGCTCAGAATTCATGGAACGGGTCCACTATTTTCCTTCCTAACAATCTGTGCTGTCTTGTCATAGTCTGCACTGTTTTCTATTCAGTCAGTACTTTTATCCCCATAAGTGATGAATGGTTTTGTCCAGATTAAAATATGGAAAAGTCCATTTAAAATGTTTAGGGTAGTAAGGGTTAATTGATATTATAAGAGATTTCCATTGAAAAAAATTAGCATCCAAGAGTATGGTGTCTGGTAAGTGTACTAAGGCACTGGCTTTGAGCTCCACATGTTGTAAACAGCTATATATAAGTCATTGTTGCCTTAAAGCAGCACGCCTCCAGTTTCATGCTAATTTTCATGAAAATTTTGAAAATGTATTTGAATGTGTAACATTATGTAGTAACAATCAATGGCACTAACAAACCATGTCAATAATCGAAAAGTGGTCAAAATATGCATAAATAGCCTTTTAACTGCATTAGTAACGCAGAAGAAATATAGTTGTAAATACAGCAAAATCACATAATATGTAAAATATTACTTGAATTTTGAAACTTTTAATTTTCCTTACATCTTAGTACATTTTTCTCAATTTTGATTTTATTAAAATATTTTGACTCATCTGGAGGCATGTAGCTTTAAAAAAGGCAAAAAAAACAAACAAAACAACAAATGATAAAATATAATTTTATCGTAGTGATGTTTGGTAGTAGGAAAATATCAAAAGTTTGAAAAAATGTAAACCAAACATCTTTATTTTTGTGCCATAATGAAAATATTTTCTGTTAATCTGATTCATTAAAAGATTTTAAAAATTTCGATTTTCCTCATAAAAAAAGACATGGGAGCCTAGAGTTATAATATAAGCAGCTGCTCATTCTCTTTAAAACACTGGTAGGGAATTTTTGTGGCGATTCAAAAAAATATCATTTACGATGATAAAACTGTAATAAATGGAAATATTTTAAGAATTCAACATCTATAAAATTGTTTGCCTATGCTATTAACATTTGATATATACTGAAAAATAATCCCTGTTTTTAGATTCACTGATTTATAGATTTCATGCGATCATATCTTTTTATACTTGAATGTAAAGATGTCTGATTGGGACTTGTAGTTTACATCTACTGTAAATATCTTATATGAATTTCAAAAATATGTTTATATGTACTTTTATTTATAGTAGATTCCCATGTGTGATTTGTTATTATGGGGGTTGGTATGAGGGTGTGGGTGGATGGTGTGGGGCAGAGATTGAGGGTATTATATTATGTAAGTATAAGTGCAGTTGATGTAGAAGTTACTCCACTCCAAAACAAAAGCCTGATTCTTTAACATTAAATGTGAGAGTGTCGCCAACACACATTTAGTTGTCAGTCTGCTTAAATTGGACTTTTTAAATAATGCTATTTTAAGCCAGCCAATCAAAATGTTCATACCAGAGAGGTTTTTTTTTTAATGAAATCTTCACTTATGAAATAATAGCCAGACACTGTATACTAATAACTATATAGATTTTGCATTAAATGAAACAACTTACAAAATTAATGTTACATACATGTATAATAATTTTCCAGTATACTTTCTGCACCACATTTAATACAGTGGTGGAATTAAGTAAAACATTAATGATTTAAAAATAATAATACAGTGTATTGTTCTAAATCAAAAGCACAAAACAAATTATTATAGCATGTTTTATTGTTTATTTTATTACTGTTGAATTGTGCTGTATGACCAAGAGCTAATATCACTTCCCCAAGACATTGTACAGGTATGAGATAATTAATTATTAATCAGTGAACACCTGTTACATTGTGATAATGATAGGAACTGATCAATGGAAGATCAATTGTACAAACTTTTTCTATTCTGTTATATGTAAAACTCTTTAAGAATGCTTGAATTGGATGGGAGTGCTAGAATTTAACCTTTTTTTAAAAAAAAAAAAAAAAAAAGAATAGTTTTAAGTCAGCATTAATGAATATGTCCTTTCTGAATGGAGCAACATATTCTAAGACTGCTTAGTAATATTATATGCTGAAATATCCTATAATAAACAATGGACTGGTCTAAATTCAATACAGGATCAGTTTATTTCACATATCTAAGGGGTGAAAGTTAATTATCTTACCTTAATAAATAATTCATCACTAATTAGGGAAGGTATTGTATGCAAGAATTTACCTTATAAAGAAAAGTTTCAGTTGCTTCAGATAGTGTCAATATATAATGCTATTTTCTGTGCCATTAAATAGATATTTTTACATTACACAAAGTAAGATTTTTTACACCTGAAATTATGCATTTTCATTTTATTAAACTGTTTGCCATGTTGATAGAAGATGTTTAATTTAGAAATGAAAGTAACTTAGTAATTTTGCCTCAAAATGTTTATCAGTAAGATATATATTGAAAAGTTATTTTGGAAAAAATAGTTCTTTGATTTTATTTATCGTGAAAGTTGACATTGTTTAAATTTTGCGTTCGGGCATTTGTTTAAACATTTTAATTATCATATAAATTATTATGTGAAGCAAATTGATTTATAATTTGGTTCCCATTAATTAGATAAAACTTTAAAATATAATGTCTTTAGTTCAATGTGCATTACAGTCAATGAATTTAAGATTTTGATTTTTTCTAGCCCGATTTCAGTTTTGAAATTATTCTGCTATATATTTAACTAAATTTCTTAAAATTTTCACTGGCCTGAACTAATATTCACTAATTTTCACTGGCCTGAACTAATATTCACTGGCCATGGGCCACCGGGCCAGTGCTAAATTCGATGACTGGCATTATAGTAATTGAAGTTAACTAGTCAATAGAGTTTTCTCTTTAATCAACATAATTTGTCACCTTAGTGCAGTAACAGGTTAACTTTATTGAAACTTAATCAGAGTTAACTCATTACTGCACTAAATGACAATAGCTTCATTTTTTTCTACTTCAAAAAATCAGCACCATGGTGGGATTAATTATAATTTAATGGTCTTTTAATTGGAGACTTTTTCTGTAATGTGTATGTAATGAAACAGTTTCAAGTTTTATCTCTATAGATTTAGATCTTAAAGTTGTCTTTTTAAAAATCGTTTAAATAGATAGGCTATGATACAGTCTCCAGGAGGTATTCATTTCAAAAGAGATTCAATAATATTTTCTCTTAAAAATATATCTTAATATCTATCACCACAAATTTTCACACTGGAATTTTTGTGTTAAATTTTACAAATATTATTATTGAAAAGGTCAAAGATAGTACATGGGGTTTTAATCAAATATAGCATAAGTAAGCAGATGTGAAAATATTGACTTTATACACATTTTCCGATACCTATGATACTGTTGTATTTACGAGTTGACCACTAAGCCAACAAGTAATATACTTACCAAAATTTATACCAAAGTGATAATTTACTTGATCAAAAGAAATAAAGTTGTTTTATGTGAAAAGTTGGATATAATTAAAGTTTAAATCAAATAATTGGAATTATTCTTTGCCTGGTTATTGAGTTTGTAAAAAATGATAAGTTTAAACCTGTTGGAACCGAAATTGTTTTGCCTAAATGGCAACCAGTATAGAGCCACTGGCCAGCCTGTACATCTATGTATTCTGACCAGGCTCTAGATACTGTTGGCTGACACAGTTTAAATCTTGATTTTGATAACCTCTAAATTGATAATGGATAGTTCCAAAAAATGAAAACTGGACAAGTCCATTTTAGAAATAAAGCAGAGTTAGGGATTAAGTAATGCAATGTGTATGGCAGATTTTGAAATATTTGGGGCATGTATTATGCTGGTATGGTTAAGAGTTAGATAGTAATGGCGTTTTCATTATAATTGTTACAGGGTAGAATAATGACTACAACTTTTTCAGTTTAATTAGTTTTCTTTTTTTTCTTTAATAAATCTAGGTATTTGTTGTCCCAACTTTTGTAATGATTTGAAATTTGTATGTTTATCAATTTTATGCACCCATTTAAATGTGGTAGGGTGGCAGTCATATAGATTTGTCCTTTTAGAGGTAAGTAAGGGTGTTGTATAAATTTGCCGTTTTAGAGAAGGTAGAGTGTTCATAGAGATATACCCATGTCTGTCAGTCCTGCTGTCTCGATGGAATCGAATGTGGAGTCATCCATGCCCAGTAGACACATTTCTAGTTGAAGCATACAATTTTGAGTCTTTTTACCGTTTTATTAATATCCTTGACCTATAAATACAAAACAGTTAATACACTATCAGACAACCGGTTGAATTAACAAAGTGTGTTAAATTTTATTTATTTATTTCAGACCAGGAATCCTAGTACGTGCAGCAGGAAGACCTAGTCTAGGTCAAGTTTCTAGCTTTGTAGATTTATTTCGACAAACTTTCGCAAGTGTGAAATCTGTACCAGATATTGGATCAACATCTCCTAGAAGTCTGCAAGTTCTGAACAGTGGAGGTATGTTAAATAAATATGAGCCGCATCATGACAAAACCAACATAATGGGTTTGCGACCAGCATCCGCGCAGTCTGATCAGGATCCATGCTATTCGCTTACAGACCCTATAACAAGTAAAGAAAATGATAGCCAACAGCATGGATCCTGATCAGACTGCAGTGATGCACAGGCTGGTCTGGATCCATGCTGGTCGCAAACCCATTATGTTGCTTTTGTCATGACACGGCTCATATATAAATAATCATATTACAAACATATAATATTAATGTCAATTTCGCATTTTTATTATTTATCACTTTCAAGTCCGCTTCCTGGAACCAACCAGTACTGGTTTCATATGTAGAAACATTGTTGTGACCCGATTAGGGTTCAAACCCTTGATCCCTGGGTTGAAAGGCAGACACACACCTTAACCACTATGCCACCGCTCCTCTTAATTAAGTATCTCCCATCCTTGTGGCAGTGCAGGGACAGTAACAAAGTGGAAATGAGTGGAATTTTTACCATTCAGCTGTCCCCAGGACACTTCCAAGTGAATGCTTTGTTTTGATTTGGCACAAAATAGTCAGAGATATATGTCTTCATTACGCATTTCTTATCTTCAGTATAATATATTGCCATATTGTTATCTAAAGTATAGTCAATGATAAAATTTCTATTTTATGATTATAGATAAGAATGCATGATATGTACTTGTTACCTGAAATTATTTGATTGTTTTGTGAAATCTTTGGATTGTTTTTGTGAGAAAATACTGCATGATTTAATGGATGTACCTTGATATAAATATTTAATGCAACTCGTTGGTTTTCTTATCTTGAAGATAAGATTAAACAGAATGGTAAAAGATGCCATTTCTTGAAACTTTTTGATACTGATGGTAACATGTTATCTTTCAAAATAAAAAGGAAAACAAACAATAGGGAGGGGTGGCTTAGTGGTTCAGGTGTCTACCTCTCAACCCAGAGGTTTGGGCTCTACTGGTATCCCAACCTTGTTGCTTTAGATGCCACCAGTGTTTGTTAACTCCTGGATCAGACTCAAAAGTGATACAAATAAGCTGAAATGTTTTGCCATAATCAAGCTAAAATAAAATATAATATGTTTAAAGTAATCCTCACCACAATCAAGCTGAAATAAACATGTTTAATGAGTTATTATCGACATTGTAGTAAATGCTTTAACGGAAATAAATGACTTTTTTATATGCAAACATGGTTACGGTTTATATGGAAGTATTTTAAATGATAATTATTTTTTGAAAAAAAAAAGGCATTTTTTTATTATCTGAAGCATATGTTAGCGGCCATTGGTGACCCGGTTACGTCATCCGACCCGGATGTGAAAGATGTGCCCGGGGAAATTTGACTGTTGGACGCCAATGCGCGTTCAAGTCCGCATGACGTCATTTGGCCTTGACGTCATGCGGCCATAAATGGCTGCCTGTAGTCGAACTGAGGGGATGTAAAAATACCTTGTCTATGTTATTGTTTATATATATTGCTAATATGCAATACAAAAACAAAAATGAGCTTCAGTAATTATTCTGATAAAGAAAATAAATGATTACCAATACAGATGAATCCCCTTTAAACTAACCATTATCATGCTGGAATTGAGAGATGCGAACCTTTGTTTCCAGTATAGCATCCAAGCCAGCTTGCACACCTTGGCCATTAGATTATTTGCTATCATTAATCCTTTATAAATATATACTAAATTTTGCTTATAAACGGATTAAAAATTTTTGAATACAGAAGATTGTGAAAAATAAAGTTCTAGAATTAACCGATTTATTACATCTTTGGCTGATGCTAAAATTTTTTGGCGGGGAAAGCATTGTAGAAAGACTACCTAAATATCATTGTCTGAGGTCAATTGTCAAGGAGAAATTTTGCTTCACTCTATGATTGAACCAGTCACTCCTGGATTACTAATCCGAGGCTCTCGCTATTCAGCTAAGTGTATGATTTTATAAGGAGACTAAACATTGTGAGATTTCAGCAATACAGGATCTCATACCAAGAAAAATACATAGAAAAATACATTGAAGAATGATGTGCCATATGTCTATAACAAAAGTTTGAGAATTTGCCAATGGCATTATACTTGTTTTTTATACATATAGTTGTTTTTCAAATGTTTTATGACTTTTCAGTTATTATAACCAGCGTGTTTTTGACAGGGAGAATTCTGGAGGGTTTTTCTCATGGGTCTGTTGAAATAAAAATGAAATAAAAATTAAATAAAAATAAAATAAAAACAGCATACATGCAGTTTAAAATGCACATCTGTCTCCCAATGATAACCATTTTGACTACAAGGAAAGTAAATTAAAGTATTTAACTTAAATGGGTTTCTCTTATAATGCCTATTTACCTAATTGAAAATTATTTCAGTCAACCTAATTAGCTATGTACATAGAACATTATGTTGACCGACAATGTATTTTACTTTTTCTTGGCGCCTCAATTTTTTTGTCTGTAATGACATTTTATTAAAGACAGCATGTCTTTTAAACCATTCTGCCTCCAGTTATGATAAAATATGATTTATGCGAGGAAGTTTGTTGTCATTTTTTAAAATTATGCCTTAGAAATGTGTATCATGTAACAGACTTTATAAATTCAAGACAGTGAAAAAAATCAAACTGATTATTTCAGTGAAAAAAATCAAACTGATAATTTCATTATTTCAGTGAAAAAAATCAAACTGATAATTTCACTGTTTCAAACAGTGAAATATCAGTTTTACATTTCACTGATATATTTCTATAAACCACCAAAAAGCATGTAATAAAATACTATATTGTATTACAGGTAATGATATAGTGAATGGTAGAATGAGTTCTCCTCCAAAACGACATCTTGCAGGTAACAATAACATATTATATTTTATCAATATTTTTAGGCCTGTATAATTATGCTACAAGTTATATTTCTTTACATTAAAGCAGCCTTCAGTTTTCTTTAAAGTTTAGATATGTTATTTTTACAGATAAATCATTTCATATATTATATATTTCCAAATCAAAAGAAGTAATGTGGAAAATGAAATTTGCCAACAATAAAATTCATAAACTGTAAGGAACCCTCTTGCTACCTCTAATATACAGGTCTGCTCTCTATATAGAATTTAATCATACGGACAATTTGTTCTGATATAGGCTATGCATTTCAGAAAGTACAAATGAACAATATTTTAGACATATACTGTGCATTTCTGTCAACATGAATATACAATATTTCAGATATACGGTACTCATCTCTGTCACCCAGTCAACATGGAAGAAGAGACAAACAACAATACGGTTCCGTTGGCGACGTCACCTCAACATCAAGGGTATGCATTAACCTAAATAGTTTTTCTAATATTAATCATAAAAGTATAGACCTTAAATAAGAATTTGCAATGTTTTAAGAGAAATAGTAGTTTCCTTTAAATAGCAGAATCATAATAATAACATTCAGCAACCTAGAGGACTTTCTAAAAAAAAACTTTTAGCATGACAGTGAAACAAGTTTTTTCAATTTTTATTACCCCCGTACTTCTGATAAAAAGTTATTGACTCATCCAGCTTTGTTATCGGGCTGGCAACCGTCTGTAAATCATTAAACTATTAACTGTTACACTTTTATTTCATATTTATGACACTAGTACTGATAAGGCTAAAAGGCATACCAGTCTTTGGTTCATAAAAGTCTCCAATTGATTTTATAATTGGCTTTGACCTTTACCCTCACGTTCATTTAAACCTACAATTCAAGTCCTCCATAAATGATTTATTTTCTTGAAATGGCTGCTATATACAGAAAGGAACATGATTTTTATACATGCTAATTCTATAGATAGTAAATGAACTTGATACTACAATGAACAAGAACAACAATGGTCCAAAGAAACCAGCAGATAAAGGTCCTTTAGATGGTGATGCTTCAGACTCCCATAATGACACTGTACCACCTTCATCTGTCAGGACCTCTCTGCCCAAAAAACCCCCTAAGCCCATGCCGAAACCCTCTAAACCATTACATGGAAATGAGATATCTGTTTATGATGATTCTTTAGACCCACATGGTAACAAAGTGCCATCCTCATTGAATTCACTTTCGCAAACAACTTCTTCTTTTGTTGAGAATGTACCAACAAATTCAGTTATTCCACACACAGAGCCTGTACCTGATTCTAAAGAAGATAATTATTTGGTATACAAACCAGATATCAGTTCTGTTAAGGACTACAGTTCTGATACAAATGAAGAAAAGTTGGTTGATGAGAAAAACTTACCTGCAGTTAAAACTATTGTAGCAAACTTTGAAAAAAGCTTTAAAACAAGAAAGAAAAAAATAAGTAAAAGTACTAATAAAGGTCAAACAATGTTATATAATTTAGACAAGGCTTCTAAATATGAGGATGTATGTAAAGCTCCTGAATATACTGATGAAAATAAAGCCTCCATAGTAGATTTGGATATAGATAAAGCTTCTGTGGATTCTGACATGCTTAAAGCAACTCAAGATGTTGAGGGAGCTGTTGGCGGTCACGACATTCATGGAATTTTACAAAGCAGTTCTTCTGATATTACTCAGAAAAAAATTTCCTCTGTACAGTTCAATGATGAAGTAACTGTTGAAATGTTTTCCCAAACAGATCCAACTGCTTCCAGCACAACCAAAGCAGTGCTTGCTCAGGGAGATGGCCCTTCATCCCCAGCAAGTCTTAAATGCAGTAGAATAACCTACCTTAATGAATCAGGCACTATATCTGATGCACCAAGACAAATTAATTTTGATGACATAGAAACATTTTCTGAAAGAAATCCAACTCCAGTAAATTTGATCAACAGTCAAACAGAAAGTAAAAACAAAGAGCAATTAAAGAGGAAAGATAGCATGCCAAAGGTACTGTCACCTACTGCCCTGCTTCGTAAAAAACAGAAAGTTGTAGCTTCCAGCCAGATACATATGTCAAGCCCATCATCATCCAGCTCTGCCGATGATAGACCTAGATCACCTAGTGATGACGAATTTCCTTTACCTTTTGATGAAAATATACAAATGCCTGTAAGACAATATCATCATAAAAAATCAGATGTAGGCATGAAATCTTTGGTTTCTCATAAAAAGTTATTTGATAGTAAATTATCAGAGAGAATTTATTCACCAGAAATCAGATCTAGTGAAGAAAATTTCTCTTTGTCAGGGTATAATTTTACTGATTATATGATTGACAGTCCAGAAAAGATTAAAGAAATCACTACTGATTATTTGATTGACAAACCAGGAAAGATTAAAGAAATAACTACTGATGATATGATTGACAGTCCAGGAAAGATTAAAGAAATCACTACTGACAGTCCAGGAAAAATGAAAGAAATCACTACTGATTATATGATTGACAGTCCACGAAAGATTAAAGAAATCACTACTGATTATATGATTGACAGTCCAGGAAAGATTAAAGAAATCACTACTGACAGTCCAGGAAAGATTAAAGAAATCACTACTGATTTTATGATTGACAGCCCACGAAAGATTAAAGAAATCACTACTGACAGTCCAGGAAAAATTAAAGAAATCACTACTGATTATATGATTGACAGTCCACGAAAGATTAAAGATATCACTACTGAATATATGATTGACAGTCCAGGAATGATTAAAGAAATCACTACTGATTTTTTGATTGACAGTCCACGAAAGATTAAAGATATCACTACTGAATATATGATTGACAGTCCAGGAACGATTAAAGAAATCACTACTGATTATTTGATTGACAGTCCACAAAAGATTAAAGATATCACTACTGATTATATGATTGACAATCCAGGAAAGATTAAAGAAATCACTACTGACAGTCCAGGAAAGATTAAAGAAATCACTACTGATCATATGATTGACAGTCCAGAAAAGATTAAAGAAATCACTTATGAATATCCCTCCATATCAAAATATCCAGTAAGCCCTACCTTACCAGAACTCCAGCAAAAAATAATTGATGAGAACTTTAGGGGAACTGTTGGTACAGTCTCAGGTATATATGGGAGACCTGATGAACTAGCTTCAGATAAAATAATTGATGTTACAAGTACTGACATTGACAGCTTTAAGTATACAAGCTCATCCAAACAAAATGAAAAAGAATCTGATAGAAAAAGTTTTGATAGAATTACTGGAGGAATAGGTTCATTCAGTTACATAAGCCCCTCAAAAGTACACCAAAAGATTTCGGATAGAGAGTATACAGATAAAAATACATCAGGAATAGGTTCATTTAGCTACATTAGCCCCTCAAAACTACATCAAAAGATTTCGGATAGAGAGTCTGCAGATAAATATACACCAGGAATAAGTTCATTAAGCTACATTAACCCCTCAAAACTACACCAAAAGATTTCTGATAGAGAGTCTGCAGATAAATATACACCAGGAATAGGTTCATTTGGCTACATTAACCCCTCAAAACTACACCAAAAGATTTCTGATAGAGAGTTTGCAGATAAATATACACCAGGAATAGGTTCATTTAGCTACATTAGCCCCTCAAAATTACACCAAAAGATTTCGGATGGGGAAACTGCAGAAGCAGTCACACCAGGTATAGGTTCATTTAGTTGCACAACACCATCAGATAAAACAATGAAAGCTGCAACAGATAAGGTCTTTGCTGTTCATAATCAACAACATAGCATACCTTCACTATCAAAACCTCATACTGAAAGTGTTAAAGTGTCAGCAGCTGTTAGTCCTGGCATTGGTACTTTCTCTTATACATCACCGTCAGAACTGCTGTTAAAATATGCCAAACTCAGAGAGTCTGTTGATAAAGATATGGAAAGAAAAGGCATTATCATGCACAGCAGGGACAACATGGAATCCTTTAAGAAAGTAATTATGCAACACTTTAAAGATATGCCATATGCAGATTTGTTAAATGAAGAGTTTGATAAATTTGAGATTACTAAAGAACAATACAAACATTGGAGAAAACGTTATGAAAGGGAGCAACATTTGGATAATTTACGTTTGTGGACACATGCTAATTCTCAGTCTGATGTTTTACTCAAGAAAGTCCTTTCTGATGCAAGTTCTTTAGGTGATATAGAACGTTTGAACACTGACCCAGGTGTTGAAGTTAAATTTGATGATGATCAACTGTTTGGTGAAAGGAAGAATGAGAATTTAAAAGTATCAGGTTTAAATGAAGATAGCATGGTTGAAGTGACAGAGAGTAAAGCTAAGGGAATGCCAAAAGAGAGGCACCACAATTTAACAGAACCAAGGATAGAAATAAAAAATGGTTGGCAAAAAAGATGTAAAAGAAAAGAAAGGTTGGATAACATCCGGAGATGGACTCAAGATAATTCACAGTCAGATGTGTTACTTAAGAAAACTGTATCTGATGAATCAAGTTGCTTAATTAAAAGTAATGACAGTTCCTTTTCTGATCTAGATATGAATGTTCTGGGAAAAGAAGAAGGTATTCTCATAGAAGGCACTGATGGAAATGACCTTCACTCAGCACTAGCATACATTCAGCATAGTCTTGTACAGTTTATGTTACATATCAAGGAAAAGCATTTGAATGGCACCCCAATAACAGATGAAGACTTTAAAGAGCTATTTCGACTACAAGCTTTCATGTCTGAAATTTCAAACCAAGTGGAAGGGAGCACAAAGCAAACAGATGAGAAGGAATCAGATTTGACTATTGGAACTGATGGTTGCGAACAAAATCATGACCTGATATTGTTCAACAAGATAAGAAACCAGCTTGATTGGACAAGAATTATGCTGAATATTGCATGCAGCAACATGGCTGCTCACCAGTCTGATTTAAGAGTGGAGTCTGTAGATTCTATTGAGAGTGGTTACTTGGGTGAGACTGATCTTAATGAAGAGGAAGCAGAGTCAGATGTTGATGATATATCATTTCCACAGGAATCTGAATACATGTTTAAAACAGTTTCCAGTGATACTGGTTACCTTGGTGATGAAGATAAAAGTGATACTAAAATAAATGGAACACAAGGAACTTCAGACAAGCTTGGGAACAAAACTGGTCTGAGGTTGAAGAAGAATAAGGTCAAAGATGTGAAAGGAAAGGCAGGTTCAAGTGAAGATTCTGCTAGAGGATGTGATGAAATAGGCGATGATGTTGTTGAGAAGACTGGTAATCATAAGAATGATGAGGGAAGTTATTATGACACAGGGAATAAGGGAGGTAATTCTGTAACTTCATTAGAAGTTCATGCACCTGATAGTGATACAGGGACAAAAGAGAATTCATCAAAAATGGTTAAGTTACTGACATGTGTCGAATATCCAAGTGACTCTAAGGAGGTTGAGTTTGATGTGGGTCATACCTATGTAAAGTTAGGGACAGAGGGGTGGTACAGTGTTGAAGCTCAACAAGAGGGGATAACTTCTGAGGCGGTTGAGCAGCATTTATCTCTTATGGTAACAGACATGTTCAATGGTTCATTCAGTTGATTGTTGCTGATGTTTAAATTGCAAAAAAAGTGAAATATGTTGGACTTTATTTATAGTTTTATATCGAGTTATAGACCCTTTACATGCTAAAATCGAATCATGCACTGATCCTTCTGTCCACTGTTTTTTAAGAGTTTCAATATGAATTAAAAAAAAAAGATTAGCTAGCTAGGAGTAATGTCAGGTCAGGCTGTACAGATGTGCATACTGGCCTAACTGTATACAGGTTTCTTATGCAAGGATTTTCACTTTTAGCATACAAAGAGTTAATTTCTTTTATTACATGCTTTTCAGTGAAATACAGTTTTCACTGTTACCAAACTATATCTTGATACGGAGGAAAAGAATATTTTCTAAATTAGTGGAAATGACGCTAGAAATACATGTAGCCTTGAGTAAAATGTGCTTGATAACGAGAAGCATATGAATATCTGCACATATCATTATAAATGTAACATAATCCATAAAATATTACAGATATATTTAATTATTTTTCAACAAGAACAATGTGCAGTCATGTTTTTATGATGTCATGAATGAGAGCACATGTCATTAATCAGTAAAAATTATTTTAAAACCCTAAAAAAAGCATGAAATGAATAGAAAATTTGTTTCTTTTGTATGTAAAATTATATTTCACTCATGAACACCAGCTCTTCTATTTTTACTCATGGCTTTGCCACTCGCGAAAATGATACATCTGGTATTTACTCCAAAATATGTTTTGATCTTACATTCAAAACAAACAAGTATCCTCTATGTATTTGTTTCCTTTTTTTATTTTCCAATTTGTTACGTTTTTGTTTATTGTTTGAAATTGTTTTTTTTTTAATTTGTTTTTGTAAACTCATAATAGATGAAAAGAAAATAATTGTAATATTATATAAAAGTTTTGAATGTCTTCAAGTAAAAGGGAAGGAAATATTTAGTTCTTATTGTGTATTCTTTAACTGTTTGGTAGCATCTATATATTATGGTCTTATAAAACTTTGTGTAGTCATATTGTCATAACGGCAGCGTGATTGATTTAATGGCAAATTTTACCTATAAATATATACATTACAGTGATTTTTACGCTCTATGTTGGGAAAGTACAAGCTTCAATCAATTTAACGCGAAATATCAAGTTTTATTTCATGCTTTCCAGTGTTTTATTGTAATATATCAGATGATTATATTCTGATAAACCACTAGTGAAATTTATAAAATATAATTTTCACTGTAGCCGGACTATATCTGAATGCGAATTAAAAGAAAATCATAACTGAATGGAATAACAGGCAGAAATAAATGCCGTCGTGCGTAAATTTTGCTTCTTTAGGAAAAGAAAGTCGATGTCACCATATATTATGTAAAAATTGTAACAAAATTATAGAAATGTAACAGAACTATATTTCAAAATTGTTGATGTGACGTCATGATGTGATGACGTCACAAAGGTGAATGCGCGACGATACGCGGCAAAATCAGCAAAAATTACTTAAAATCACTTAAAACGCATGAAATAAAAAGAAAATTTATTTGTTTTACATATAAGATTGAAATATATTTCATTCGTGAACACCAGCTATTATATTTTCACTCGTGGCTACGCCACTCGTGAAAATATTGCATCAGGTGTTCACTCAGTGATATTATATTTCAATCTTACATGCAAAACAAACAAGTATCCTCTATGTAAATTTAACGCTGAAAACACTAACACTTATTTTTGATAAATTGGTAACATATATGTTGGTAATATTTTCAATTAGTAAAAAATGGTAATAAATTGGTAGATAATTGGTTACGAATTATTAATTTAAACATATGTTTTACATGTGGTGCATTTTTATCCTTGTATTGTATTAAATTGGTAAAATTGGTAATAAATTGGAAGATAATTGGTTATAAATTATTTATTAATTAATTACAACTTTGGTTACATGTAATGGTACAAAATTGGTAATTTATAAAAAAGGATAAGTTTTAAATTCAATTGGTTATAAATTGACAGTTTATTGGTTATATTAATCATTAGTTAAAAAGTTTATTGGTTATATAAAATATGAGTAATAAATTCTAAAAGTATTGGTTATATAAAAATTGGTTATTTACCTGATACATATGAACATAACTAGTAATTAATTGGTTATAATCTTTATTTGTCAGGACATGTAAACTTAAGAGGGGAGCTATACTTATCAGGGTATTGTAACATTATTACTTTAACATCTTTATTTGATTGACTGGTGATGGGAAGGTTTTTTTTTAGCACGGAGCAAACCCTTAAAAATTACTTCAGATATCTGAAGAATCTTCATCTTATAGTATGAAGAAATCAGGTAATATTGAAAACATGGAGCATTTTGTGGTCTAAATATGCTTCTGCTGATGCTATTTGTGTGTGTTAATGCAGCAGTTCAAATATTTCTGTTTAAAGCAGCATGCCTTCAGATTCCTGCTCATTTTCATGAAAATTTTTGAAAATTTTTTTAAGAGTAAAATATTGTGAAGTGAACAAAGAAAGTCACAGGAGGCTCATTAAATGATGAATAGCTAAAAATGACAATTAAGACAAGGCCAATTTTTAACCAGGTTTTCCGAAGGAAAAAACTGGTTGATTCTTGGCTAGTGGGGGGGGAAAAGGCGGGGGGTGTAAACAAGACTGATCCCGGGTGTGAATATTTAGTCTTAACCCCTCCCACCGTTTGATTCTTGGCTTGCATTTCAAAACTTCATTATAAATTTAGTTTATACTTTTATCTATATTAATCAAAAAGTTTCTTTTTTACCTTTAATCTGTATAGGTCTTGGTGTCTAATTTTTTTATCTCACCCTGCGGCAAGTTAATAAAGTAAAATGTTTACCTAATGGACTGAAAATAGATTTTTTAGCTAGCTAGCACACGAGGCCTCCATTGCCAAGTGGCGATGTTTTGCCCATTTTCTTCTGTTGTCAAGTTTAGTTCGAATGTTTTTTCATGAATACTCTTTCATAGCTAAACTTTGTGTTTAGACAATTCAGTGGAAATATTCTTATACTCCAGTGCTATAGCTTGGATATCAACTTTGTACCTCAGCAGTATTGACTTTTTCCCCAAAACACATTTCAGTTAAATGGTACAGATGATAAAATGTTTGAGACTTATAACCAAAGGTTTTGATATTTTTTTGTATGTGTAAGTGTGTGCTCTTAATATGAGAACAATATGAAATGTTTGATACAACACTGCAGTAACTGAAAGAAGAAATAAAATATTGCACTTAGTGTTCTGTCTAACTCTCATTGTTGCTCTCCTTTTGTTGCTTTACTAAGCTTGACTGTTTTGCACTTGCACTTCAGGAAGGGTCACCAGACAGGGGTCAAAAGTTATTTGGGTCATCACAGAATCTGGAAAGGGTAAGCATAAGAAACCTCCTTCCTTAGCTTATTAGCTAATGTTTCTTGTAATATGTAAACCGACTTAAAATAAAGTTTCTTGTATCTTGTATCTTAATGTATCCTTCTAACCTTCCTTCCGGTCTTCCTTTTCTTCCTTCCTGTCTCCCTTCCTTCCTGTCTTCCTTCCTTCCTGTCTTCCTTTCTTCCTGTCTTCCTTCCTTCCTATCTTCCTTCCTTCCTGTCTTCCTTCCTTCCTGTCTTCCTTCCTTCCTGTCTTTTCTTCCTTTCTGTTTTCCTTCCTTCCTTCCTGGCTTCCTTCCTTCCTGGCTTCCTTTCCTGTCTTCCTGTCTTCCCCTTCCTTCCTTCCTGTCTTCCTTCCTTCCCTTTCCTGGCTTCCTTCCTTCCCTTCCTGTTTTCAAATCCTGTCTTCCTTCTTTCCTTCCTGTCTTCCCTTCCTGTCTTCCTTCCTTCCTGTCTTCCTTCCTTCCTGTCTTCCTTCCTGTCTTCCTTTCTTCCTTTCTTCCTTCCTTCCTTTCTTTCTTCCTTCCTGTCTTCCTTCCTTCCTTCCTGTCTTCCTTCCTTCCTTGGGCTTCCTTCCTGTCTTCCTTCCTGTCTTCCTTCCTTCCTGTTTTCCTTCCTTCCTTCCTGTTTTCCTTCCTTCCTTCCTGTTTTCCTTCCTTCATTCCTTCCTTCCTTCCTTTTGTTCATAAATTCATTTGTTCATTTCCTAACAATTTCTCTTTTGCTAGGCAGAACAAATAAACAAATGCAATATTTGTGAATCAGTAGCTGACATATATATCAAGGAGAACAATTGAAGTTTATACATCAACTACATTATGCCTATCTTTTTGTGATGCATGTTGTATTTTTCTACTTACCTGAATAAGCATTTCCTATGATGATACTATCACATTTCTAATGTATATTCAAGATTGCGTACTGCATATTCTGCAGAAAGTTCTGGGATTTTTTGTGAGAATAAAAGCAGCATTGAATGATAATAGTAACTGTAATGTTATGATGTTTATATTTTACCCCTTAACATGCGAAATTTGGAACATTTTATTAGAATTTTAAGGGATTTTAGTCACAAAATTAAGAAAAATTGAGTTGTCAACAGTCAACAGTCTGGTCAGACTACATGGATGTTCAGGCTGGCCTGATTGTATATTGGTGGCAAAGGCTAATAACTTTATGATTATGCAGATTTTAACACACTTGTTACTATATAAAGTAACAAAATTTACTATGATTTCAACTGATTAAGAGTGTCATGTGACTGATTATGAGCTTTGGGGTCTGGGGCTGAAAACTCGTTGTCAAAATCGGCCCTCTGAACATGAGTATGTGCACAAACTGAAACAATGATGCCACAATTTACATCATCAAAACAGCTAGCTGCATGTTAAACTGGAAGTATGTTATACACATTAATCTCTTGATTTTATGATGAGAACTTAAGTGTGATTTATACAAACAGTTTTATTGAAACTTAATGAAAAAAATATCAGAGAAATTAAAACTTGCTTCTTGATTCTAGTGGACTTTATATACTGTACATTTGTACAAATAAGGGGAAGCAACTCTGTAGAAGTTATAGTAGAAATCTAAAGGGACAGAATTTTCAACAAAAGAAATATCAAAGTAATTAAAAAAAATGCCCTCAGGCTGTATTAAGAAGCCCTCTGGGCTATTATTGTATTTTGCGGGCTGATTATCACCCTTCAGCTCTGTGTATTTATCTCTTGTTATGTTAAACAAAATGTTACATTTTTTGACAATTTATCCATCCCACCTTTGAATTGATGTAACAAATCTTATAGAATGTATATTAGGAGGTATCATTTGAGCCGCGTCACAACAAAACCAACGTTTAGTGTTTAATTTAAACATATTTATTTCCTGAATATTTACATGATATACATAATACAATACAATCGGAATACAAATATATAATATATTCAAAGAAAAGGATGAGAACTAAAGACTAAGTCTTATAAAATTCTTCTCCTTTATTAAACGTTATGTGTTTGTAACCAGCATGGATCCAGACCAGCCTGCGCATCTGCGCAGTCTGATCAGGATCCATGGTGTTAATGCTATCAGTTTCTCTACTTGTTATAGGGTTTGTAAGCGAACAGCATGGATCCTGATCAGACTGCATGGATGCACAGGCTGGTCTGGATCCATGCTGGTCGCAAATGCATAGTGTTGGTTTTGTCGTGACGGGGCTCAATTTTATATTGTAGAGAGATGGTGGAGGTGGAAAAAGAAAACAAGCATCTAGAAGTATGACACCTGATTCTCGCTTTATGCTAGACAAGGTAATAATCATCCCTACACTTATTTTATAATGTTGATTAATTCGCTTAAATGCTCTATCACTGCAGTTTGTTCAAATCTTGCTCCGCCTTTCAAACCAGCAACCAGGTCAATGTAGAAACAAGTCGGGGCATGACACCATGATGTGTGTCTTCATTTTAAGCTTGGAACCGGATAACTTTATTGAAATGATGCCATTTTGCTTGAATTGAAAAATGATATATTTGTTGTAAGACAACTCTGGTAGGTACTGTATAAGTGGTTAAGTTAGTGATGTGGAAATATTGGCAAATATTGTGAATTGACAACAATTGCTAAAATTTCCTCTCGCTTAAATATCAACCAACCGGTCATTAAATTCTACCCTTGCATGACACGGGTAAAATATTCAGAGTATTGAACCCTTTTATCTGTATGTCTTCCTATCATGCCAGGAACCAGGTAATGTCTTCCTATCATGCCAGGAACCAGGTAATGTCTTCCTGTCATGCCAGGAACCAGGTAATGTCTTCCTGTCATGCCAGGAACCAGGTAATGTCTTCCTGTCATGCCAGGAACCAAGTAATGTCTTCCTGTCATGCCAGGAACCAGGTAATGTCTTCCTGTCATGCCAGGAACCAAGTTATGTCTTTCTGTCATGCAAGGAACCAGGTTACATCTTCCTGTCATGCAAGGAACCAGATTATGTCTTCCTGTCATCTCAGGAACCAGGTTACGTCTTTCTGTCATGCAAGGAACCAGGTTATGTCTTCCTGTCATATCAGGTACCAGGTAATGTCTTCCTGTCATGCTAGGAACCAGGTAATATCTTCCTGTCATGCCAGGCACCAGGTAATATCTTCCTGTCATGCCGGGAACCAAGTTATGTCTTCCTGTCATGCAAAGAACCAAGTTATGTCTTCCTGTCATGCTAGGAACCAGGTGACACCACATTAATGAAGAACTCAGTATAAGTGTATCTGGGCCTACCTTCATCACAAGCCATGGACCATGTTGGACTAGAACATTATTACTGATAAGTTAAGCTGTGAGACAGACTTCTGTAGTAATGAGTTTAGTTGACAACACTCCTCGGTGTTCATACTGCCAGAATTATATCTTATCACTGATGGGGAAAACAAAAAATTTAATGTATCATTTATTTTTTATGATTCATCAGATCCAGATGTGTGTTATAATGATGATTGATCAAAAACATTTCTGGCATATAATTCTGTCTGTTGTTTTCTTTCCAAATAATCATCAGGTAAACAAGTATAGAATGCATGTTGCAATGTCACAGACAGGATCTTGTACTGGTATAAAAGACATTTCACAAGACGGTTTTTTCTTGTAGATGTTAAAACCCCCACAGTGCTAGTGGTGAAAGTATTTCCTTTGATAAAACCCCCCATTTTGATAATTTTTTCTTAAAGCTAAAATTTGAATTTTTAGGTTTTGGGTTTTTTTTTATGAAAAAAAAAGGTTTAAAAAAGCTTCAGAATGTTGGGGGTTTCTATCAGATCCCCCTTTTTTGCCTGAAATAATGCATGGAGGGGTACTTAGGTATTCCTCCACCAGTACAGCTGAAATATCATTGTATGAAATTAACAATGTTGATGTGACTTAAAAATTCAACAAAAAATAATGAAATGCATTGTTACGAGCATGCACTATTATTAATGTGTATGCATATAAATTTTTCCAGGAAGTTACAGAGAGTCAGAACCGAAAACTACAGACAGAGGTCGCCACATTACAAACTGAAAATAGACTGCTGAAAGATAAATATAACCGGGCTCAAGGTATGATTTTAAGTAACATCTTAAGTGTGCATTTACAAATCTTATAAGTGTGCATTGACAAATCTTATAAGTGTGCATTAACATAATTATATATTATAATTGTGCATTAACTTATAAGAAAACATCAATAAATCTTTTAAATGTGCAACAACAAATCTAATAAGTTTAATGCATTAACAAATCTATAATAAGTGTGCATTAAAAAATCTTATAAGTGGGCATTAACAAATCTTATAAGTGTGCATTGACAAATCTTATAAGTGTGCATCAACTAATCTTACAATTGTGCATTTATAAATGGTTACATATGTGCATCAATATTGGCTTGACCATTTATACATGCACCCTTGTAAGATTTGTTAAGTTTAAACTTACAATCAATTAAGCTTTGTATTATCCTATGGTATGAAAAAGTGTTTTTTTACGTCATCTGTGATTGTCATGATGTTATGTAAAATAAACAGGAATGTTAATTTAGGTTTGGCTTGATTTTTGAATTTTCGTGACACCCTCTCTTGCTTTAAATTTTGGGAAAGTTCATTAAATTTTTAAGGGTTTTTTAAAACAAAACAAAAAAAATTAGCTAATCAAAGTGCTTGCTAAAACAAAAAGATTGACAATGGGCCTGGTCTTTTCGGGTTTCTTATTGTTTAGTACTGGTTGGGGGTTTTCAAAGCTTATAGTTCCATTACAATAAAAACTAAAAAAAATTTTTTTTTTTTCGTTCCTTTCGTACCTAAATATTTTAAGATAGATTTTTGCTCTGTACTTATTAATTGATTAAAAGAATCGAAAAAAAAATGTTTTGGGTTTTGAGAGGTGGATTTGATAGAAAAATTATAGGATTTTCCCCTGGGGTTTTAAAACCAAATAAATGTCCAAAAAAACGGATAACCAAAGGGAGGGCAATGTAATAATCCCTTTTTTAAAAAAATTTTGAAACCTTTAAATTTAGGAAAAGGGTTTTATTTATAGCAAATTTTAAAAAAAAAGTGTAAAAAATTGCACCCCCGGTTTAAAAACTTTTTCCCAAAAAAGCATTTTGAAATAGTGATTCTCCTTTTATAGGTTTTAGGGGGCATTTAAAAACCAGTTTTATACCAACAGTCATTAAAATAATTTTTGGTTGGGGTCAGTATAAAAAAAAGGGGGGTTCCTGGCCCAAATGGGTTAAAATTGTTGACATTAACCACTTGCCCCTCATTTCTTGGTTCGAATCCTGACAGGGGGTATGGGAAAAAATTTTATGTGAGAAACTATCAAGCTAGCTTAAGAAACTCAGTAGTTCTACTTAGTGCAGTTCGTATGTGAAATAATGCATGAAGTGGCATATTAGGTCTTCCTTCACCAATAAAGCTGGAAAGGAAAGTTACTGAATAAACCTTACTGTATTGGCATGATGTGAATTCCAAACAAAAAAAGTTTTAAAAAGACAGGTCCAGGAATGTGCATAATGTATAAGAATGTGTCTGTGTGGGGTATTTGGTTAAGTTATGTGGTAATGTTTCATAGGGGAAGTATAATTAGAATGTTGGACATATTGCAGTCATTATATTAAGTAGATAATTTTGCCTATATACTGTTAAAATATTTTAGTGAAATCAATAACTTTAACAGATTATACTGTTTGCAACTGTTCAATCTAATGATAATTAAGTAATGTTTCACTACTCCATAAATTGTTAAGTTTACAAAATAAGGTAGTTTTCAGTGTTTTATTTATGTGGTATGAATTATTATACAGTTATATTTAAAAGTACATACAGATGTTTATTAGATCACACTTTATTAAAACACCAGATCATGATCATTAGAAGCATGTAAATGTATAAAACAGCATCTGCAGGAAATATTTGAACGTTTTTTTGAAAAAAAGGTATTTAAGTTGATTATGTTATGCTTCAGGGGTTTTCACTAAGGAGAAATGCCATTCTGAGTGTTCCCACATTTTTTACAGCCATTATCATCAAACATTTTGATGCATTTGTACTTTTTCATCATATTCTCGTAACACTATTAAAACTTTTAATATTACATGCAAGCATGAGGTGCATGTTGGGAATGTTACTATTTTTAGATTTTCTTTGTTAATTGCATTCTGGAAGTTTTACTATTTATAGATATTATGCAGTGCATGTTGGGAATGTTACTATTTATAGATTTTCTGTGTTAATTGCATTCTGGAAGTGTTGCTATTTATAGATTTTATACATTTATGGTATTGTTACTATTTATAGATTTCGAGTTTAGAGAAAAGGTTAGAGAGTTCACATAGAGCAACTGACATGGCCAGACACAACTCGGAGAAATCAAGAACGCTAGAAGCTCATAAATCAGAAATAACCTCGTTAAAGGTAAATCTGAATATGTATCTAAAAAATTGTCTTTGAAAAAATACATTTTTATACTGCATTCAACACAGTCTCTAAAAAAAGGAAAAAAAGGAAAATGGAGAATATTCAATTTTTTTATAATTACAAGATTTATTTTCGTCAAGTGGTATGAAAATAAATATTACATGAGTAGCGATCTTTTTTGACATTAAAATTTGAAAGACGTCCCCTTAAATTTTATATACTTAGCTGAATTCAGAAGAAAGTAGCCTAGCTAAGACACTAGTGAAAATACAGAAAATATGTTTCACTGCAGTGAAAAATAAATTTTTAAAATGAAAACACAGAAAATGAAAATACGAATTTTATTTCATCCATATTTCTCAATATTTCATATATAAGTATATAATAAACATATATTTTTTCACTTTCTCTAGCATAATGTATTGCTATTCTTTAAAGATAAAAATACTCCAAAAAACAAAACAAAACAAAAATAAAGATAAATTTCATAAATTATACAATATTCTTACATGTAACACTATTTTTACATGCAATGATATTCTTACATGTATTGGTATTATGCCTTGAATGCCTCTGTGATGGTGGTGGTGGTATTAATTGGTAGTTTTCACTCTGGATCACAGTAGTTAGCCACATTGAATTTACACAGCTCAATTATCGCATCATTCCTGGGCAGGCTGTCGAGCAGTTTACCGGTACAAGTTGCCTTCACTTTCGCAAGGAACTGAAACCTCTGTTCATATCATAGCAGAAGTATAGTGTGAATGACTGTGGAAAGGATTTCATGATCAATCACAACAAAAGTGACCTGGGCCATCCAGGATTTGAACCTGGTTTGCCCGATTCACAGTCAAAAGCTGTACCTCTTTAGCTAACTGGATGGCTCTCCTTGAATGCCTCTGCTTTTAAGCGAAGGTTTTAGTTGTTTAACATACAGTGAAACCTTTACAGAACAGCCCCTCTGTAGAACAAAAACCTGTGTACAACAACAGTATCAGTTGTTCCCAAAGGAAGACTTCACAAGTATGGTAATCTAGAGTTATATCTTGTTATTGTAGGAAGAATTAAGTAGAGTGAAGGCTTTATTAGAACAGAGTGAGAGGCATTTACGAGACGAGGAAGAGAGGCATGCAGTGGCGGGGAAAGAGATTGTCAAACTTACCGAGCTTAAGAATGCCTTACAACAGCAGGCAGATACAGGAGGAATAGCTGCAACCACTGATAAACAGGTAGGAGTGAGTGATATACAATAAGTGGTTTATAATGAGTGTTATATAATGAGTGGTTTATAATGAGTGATACACAGTGAGTGATTTACACTGTGTGGTAGGTAATGAGTGGTTTATAATGAGTGATACACAGTGAGTGATTTGCACTGTGTGGTAGGTAATGAGTGGTTTATAATGAGTGATACACAGTGTATGATGTACAGTCAGTGCTATACAATGAGTGGATCATCAATGATACACAGTGAGTGATATGTAATGAGTGATACACATTAAGTGATATACAATGAGTGGTATATAATGTGTGATACACATTAAGTGATATGTAATGACTGATTTGTAATGAATTATACACATTAAGTGATATACAATGAGTGGTATTCAATAATACACAGTGAGTGATATGTAATGAGTTATACACATTAAGTGATATACAATGAGTGGTATATAATGAGTGTTACACATTAAGTGATATGTAATGACTGATTTGTAATGAATTATACACATTAAGTGATATACAATGAGTGGTATTTCAATGATACACAGTGAGTGATATGTAATGAGTTATACACATTAAGTGATATACAATGAGTGGTATTTCAATGATACACAGTGAGTGATATGTAATGAGTTATACACATTAAGTGATATACAATGAGTGGTATTTCAATGATACACAGTGAGTGATATGTACTGAGTTATACACATTAAGTGATATACAATGAGTGGTATATAATGAGTGTTACACATTAAGTGATATGTAATGACTGATATGTAATGAGTTATACACATTGAGTTATATACAATGAGTGGTATATAATGACTGCAGATATGTTAAATAAGATTCTAACATTTTATGTTGTTATATTTACCAGTTGAAATCGTTGGAGAAGAGATTGAAAGTAACGGAGGAGAGGCTGCACCAGGAACGAGCCGACAGAGCTAACAACCTGTCTGCTGTCGAGGATAAACTGTTAACAGAAAATGCTAAACTACAGGTATTCCTTGCTTATTTCCCCTTAAGCTGCCAGTGATTATTCACCATATATAACAGAGACCTCCAATTGAAATTTTCTTAAAATCATACAGTTTTCCCAAAAATCTGAACTTACACCAGCTTTTTTACTTCCCAAATTACAAATTTGGAGTGATAATTTTTCCCAAAATCATGAGCTAAGGCCTCTTTCCCAGTCTAGTGAGAAAACTCAATTCCTGCTGATTTTCCTAAATAGACTTGTCCGGTTTCCATTTATGGAACTGTCACTTTTCAATTGTGGGGATATCAAGATGAAAATTAGAAGAGTCGGGTGAAGATGCACTGATGTGAATGAGACATACAGCATAATATAAAGCTTCCAGAATAACCTTCAGTCTTCAAACATGAGTGTAGGACGGACAAAAGCCCTCCCGTCAAAAAGTGAAAAGGCGAACAAAAGCCCTCTCTTGAAAATGACAGGACAGACAAAACATTAACAAAAACATTCCCTTCAAACATAGACAAAGCTTGAAAGTTTTTAAGGCCTATTATTCCCAGAAAACTTGTTATTTTTATTTTTTGAAAGCTCTTCATTTTTATTGCCTTTTAAAAAGTTATGCACATAGACTAATTACATGAACAATCTTTTGCCTCTGTTGCTTTTGGCAATTAGTAGAGATATAATGAATAACAATTTTGTATGGAAGTCAAAATACTACTTTTGTTTACATTTTGCTACATAAATGTCAAATATTTTCTCATTCAGCTCTACTTTTTTCAGGTACTGAACAACACACATGCTCTAAAATCATCATTTAAATGTTATGAAAACTCATGTGTGCCCTTTCTAAAGAAAATATACAGCCACACAAACACGAACATTCAGTAATTATTTATTGCATAAGTTTTGGCTATATGCCTTCATCAGTGCAAAACAAATAAAATTCTAAAGAAGGAAAGAATTATTCATTTCTGAGGAATAATGTGCCTTTAAGATTATTTTATTGTTTCTTTCTTTTTTTCTGAAGGACTGATACATCATACAGTCATTTTAAAGAAGTTGTTGCTATACAGACGGCCACTTTTTTTTTATTTAACTGTATTTTATTTTAATGAATTTTATTTTTCTTAATTGCAGGCAACGGAAAAGGAGCTGGGGCGACAACTTCACCGAGAGAAGGAGAAAAATCGTAACTTTGAACAACGTGTGAAACAGTTACGAGAGGAAAACGAGAAGTTACGATTAGCCATGCCATTTGATGATACATCACTGTTGTCTAATAAAGGAAATTATGACATTCCATACAGCAGCCATAGCAATCAGAGAGCGGAAACTATGAAGGTAATTTAACATGTCGTTCACGTAACAGATTAATGTTGTTTTATTCTAACATTAAAATTTCACTCGCACTAGATTGAATTTTTTTGTTTTTGTTTCTTCTTTAACCTTAAAATGATCATATGTAGTATATATATGTTATATATATATAGAGTATTGTAATTGATGAAAATCAATGGATTTTTAATATTTTTAACATATATATTGTGTATTTATTGTATTGTTTTCAATGTCTTATTATAACAATGTTTTATACCTAAAATTTAGTACAAATATACTCTAACAGTGAGAGAATAGATTTTACACTTTATCATGCATGTGTGGGCTGGCACTTGGTTTCGTATATAAGTGTCATATCTGTCTGTGGTAGAGATCAAAATTTTAAAAATGAACAAAAAACAAAAAAGGTGGTGTTTATATTGTATTCACAAGCATGTTCACATAAAGTTACTTCCATCAAGTAAACTTGTATAAATTTGCCAAGTTTTATCACTTTCCACGAGGTCATTCAAAGTACAGTTAATGTGGTTACAGACATTGAGTCTGTTGCTTTTTACTGTTGCATGTTTGAGTCTTGTGAGGGAGGTTGAATTTTTTTTTCATGTGTACAAGCTATCTAGGTAGTTTATGGAAGGTCAATGGGTGTACTGTGATGCCTGTTTGTGTCTGAAACAATACAGAGTGTGACCTTTACCATTTATACCAGAATGATCATAGTACAAATCATCACCTTAGTGCAATAATGCAATAACTGCTTCTAAATTTAATACATTGTAGCAGTTATTCAGTTATTACACTAAGGTGACGAAATGGGGTTTTGAATCTAGAAAACTGGGTCTAAAATATAAGAACAATGTTGACATCTTGCATTGCACTCGTGAGGCTTGTATTAGGAGATATACAGTCCAACCTGTGTTTAAGACCACCTTCAAATAAAGACCATCCTGTATATAAAGGCCATTTTTTTTTTTGACAATCTTCTTTTGATTAGATAGAGCAACCATATGACCTAAACTGTGTCAGTGTGATATAAAACCCAATAAAAAAAGAGAAAAAGATAGATAGAGCAATGTAACCTCTAAATAAAGACCACTTGCCTATAAAGGGCTATGTTCTGTATCTCCTTTAGGTGCATTACTTTGTTCACAGGTTTGACTGTATAGAAAAAGTGTATATACATCTTTATAGTGACTGAAAGTGATTTAACATACCAAATTTCTACAAGTTGATGATGGATTTATTTTCTTATAAGTATAAATGTTGTAAGCTCTGTATCACTTTACAGCACATTTCTGATGATATGAATTATATACTGTCACAAATTGAGAAACAAGATGGCCTCCAGTCTGGTGACGATGCAGAAATCATACGAACACTCTGGAACAAACGAGAGCTTGCATACAGACAGCTCCGTGAATATGATCTACAATTTCAGGAATTACACATAACTGACAACAATATTGCAGATGGGCTAAAGGTGACATGTTTTATTATAGCCAAACCTGACAAAAAATACACTTCAGAACATAGGGGCTATCATGGCCGAGAATTTAAGATTGTTTACTTTGTTTCATGCCAGTCACAGTTGAGTGTCTTAATCATAATCAGGCAACTTTAGGATTTCTCCATTGAGAAGTTTATCTTTAAAACTATATAAACTCAGTTGTTTTAACATGTGCCCACCAGGATAAACTTTTCCACAGGGATAACTCAATGAACTGGTTGCTGGTGGCTGTATGAAGGGAACCAACCCGCACCGGATCCTTTGTTCACCCTGAAAAACAATTTGAAAGCTGCAATATTACATCAACAGAATAACAGTGCTAATATAACTTAAAACCTAACCAAAACAAAAATAAACATCCGTAAAAAATGAATTCATAGCTCATAATATTTGTTGTCATTTAGCCACATAATACAAATTTATTTAAATAAAGTCTTAATAGGTTTTTACAGAGCCTAGTTTGAACGACAATTTGTATTGCAAAAAAAAAGACAAATTCCTGACTTTCATATGCACCTATATTGGATATATTGTGTCAGGACCTATTGTAGAACAGAACAGAATAGAACAACACTTAATTAACTCTAGTCACATATAAGCAACATAAACTATAAAATTCAGTTGCTGCAATTAACAAAATTCATGCAGTTTCATGAATGCAGTTTACTAACTCTAGTGTATCAGCTGCCATTCCCTTTCTAAAATACAAAATATAATGATGTTTTAACAGGTGCATTAGTGCAATTTTAATGGTTAACTTACACAATTAATTATCTATCGTCTTATTTAATTTGCCATAAGTGTCGGCATAATTAAACCTTTGCTTCCAATTAATCCATTAATATCTTAATATCAAGAGATGAAATGCTTAGAAAACCTAGCTACACTTTATTTATTAATCCAGAACTTAAAAAAAGTGATCTTCTTTTCTGGAGTTTTAAAGCCTTTCTGGATTAAAAGAATTGTTTGGGCCACCCCAAACCGCACACACCCTCATTTTCATTCCCCCCCCCCCCCCAGTTGTGGATTTTAAAATTCTGCCATAGACATTAACCCATGGCGTACTGGCAGTGACTGAATTTTTCCATGTGACCTGTGCAGACAACACATCATGCTTTGCACTGTTTGCTATTCACTGACTCTAAACAAAGCAAACTGCATAATGCACAGGTCTGCCTTCTCCAGTAAACTATCACACTGAAATTCTTTTGAAGATTTTTTTTATTACATTTTAAGTCCTACATGTAAATATTGTGAATAAATTTAGATTGAAAATATAAAGATTAATTGTTTTGAAAATGTGGCTGCTATTGATTCAGATTCCAATAATATTTCAGTAAAATCTTGTTTAACTAATTATTTTATGGAATATGTTTTATTTTATTAGTTTGTAAACAACTTTAGGTGCCAATGATTAGAAGTATTACAGTTTAACTTATCTTTTCATTAAAAGAAGTTATCATGTGGTTTGGCACGAAGGGTTTTATGGAAATTTTGTGGTAAACCAGAATACTTTCTATATATTATTATACAATCTACTTTATGTGTGAAATCAGATTAGACTGCTTAATATAAAACAGGATTTTATAGATTTTAGACAGATTTATTTTGCTATAGGGAATCTTTATAAATTAAAGATAATGAAAAGTGAGAATTAAAACCAAGAATGAATTTTTTTAAATCTTGTTTTTCATCCTTTTTTTTGTGATCAAAAGAATTTTTTGGTGTAATTAAGTGATGAATGGTATTTAGTTGGCATGATATAAGAGTACATGATGTTATGATAAGATTTGGTTTAGTACAGAATACCTGTTGATTAGGTACATTTATATACATGTATATCTATACACACCTGTATAATACCTGAGGATTGAGTTTAGGTTTTCTTGTAAGGATTACCAGTTACATCTGTTTAATGGTAATGAGGCTCTGGACTCGTGGACAGTCTCAAACCAAAAAAAAAAAAAAAAAAAAAAAAAAAAAGAATTATTTGCTTTCCCTCCCGCTACCTACCCACAAAAATCACAGCTACCCAAAAGAATTTATTGTCAAACATCAAACAAAAGATTTTTTTTTTACAAAACACTTTGTATTGAAAACAGGAAAATTTGTATGTACTACATAATTATAATAATAGACTGAACAAGTTTCATCATTGTCTCAATCTACAAGCAGGAAATGTTATTTAATTCATGATACTTAAAACTGCATTCCTACATTACTATAGCTTGTTGAGGTAATAAACCTAATTACTTATTTTAACTTGAAGAATATCTTTTAAATCATTACTTATTATTAGCTACTTATTATACACAATTGAAAATTTTCAGATAAGTGTTTTTTCATGGTAAAATGTTTGTTAAGCATATTTTGTTTCCAAGGTTATTGTACTGACTCAACTTTTTTCTGCAAAGTCAGCAAATTTTACTCTGCACTTGGTGTTTCCATTTTATGTAAATGCTAACTTACATAGAAGTAATTAAACTTTTTTCTATAAATCCTGTTTTTATATAAAAAAAACTTGAACTTACTATGTATTATATATATATATTTTTCTTTTTTTTTGGCATTTAAATTTTAAGGACTTCCCCTTAAAATTTGTGTATTGGCTGAATTTAGAAGAAAGTAGTCTGGCAAGACACCAGTGAAAATATGGAAGATATGATTCACTGCAGTGAAAAATAAATTTTTACCATGAAAATACAGAAATTGAAAATATGCATTTTATTTCATCAATATTTCTCAATATTTAATTTATAAGTATATAATTTACTGTATAAATTGTTATGGATAACTGAATTAGAGTGTCAGGTTTAATACTATACATGTAGAGTTGGCTATTCAGTAAGGAGACATCAAATTACTTGCATCACACTGCTCTGGGTTTGAGTTCTGTCCAAGACCTTGGCTTCTTCCTTGTGAAGAAGCTATCCAGCTACCTTATGGAAGGCAGTTATTTCTACTGAAGTGGTCGTTTGTTTCTGAAATAATGCGCAAGACGGCACTCAAGGTCTTCCTCTTCCAATAAAGCCAAGAAGTGACCATATGACCTTTACAGTGTTATTATGACTATAAACACAATAAAACAAATAAATCAGGAGAGTATTGGGGTTACCCCTTTACTTCTTAGTGATTTGATTTCTTTCATTTGGTAAAGCTTGCTTCCTGTTATCATGTTGCTGCCATAGGCAAGGATTTTATGGTTGCTAGCATGTAAAATAATCATGTAAAATAACTAAGTTAAGAAGTTGACTGCCACATTTAAGTGCAAAGTTTTCACTTCTCTGTTAGATGCAATCCACATTTTCACAAAAGTTTCTAATAAAAAAAGATATGTACTGTAATAGTACCGTTATGTTTTACAGAATTTAAGAGATACATATGGACAGGCAGAATCAAAGTTACGAGACATGGAGGAATGTGTTGAGGATGCCAAGGCCCAAGTGTCAACATTAGATGCTACCTACCAACAGTATGTCCAGTTTTTATGAAAAAAATATATTTAAAATATACACATCTAATTATTTACACAGTAATACAGAAATGAAATTGGACCAAGAGCTGTGACAGTGTATGGTAGTCCTCTCTTTATGTGATTGTTCATGGTAGCGGTCTCCTTATGTTATATTGTTTTTGTTTTTTATGCTCCCCGAAAAATTTCGGGGGAGCATATAGTCGGCGCCTTGTCCGTCTGTCCGTCCGTCCGTCTGTCCGTCCGTTGTCTTGTCCGGAGCATAACTTGAAAACCCATGGAGATAATTTGTTGAAACTTCATACACTGGTTAGAGGGCATTGAGGGGGAGTGCAGTGTCAAAGAACCATAACTCTATTTTGCCCGGTTTTTGAATTATCTCCCCTTATAGAAAAATCTTGTCCGGGGCATAACTCTAAAACTATAAGAGATATCAACATGAAACTTTGTAGGTGAATAGATCTCAATGGGTAGATGTGCAGTGCATAAGAACAATAACTCTTTTTGTCCTAATTTTTGGAGTTATTGCCCTTTGTTAATTTTAACACTTTGAACTTTGTCCGGAACATAACTCTAAAACTATAAGAGATATCAAGATGAAACATTGTAGGTAGATAGATCTCATTGAGTAGAGGTGCAGTGCAAAAGAACCATAAACTCTGTTAAGCCTCATTTTTGAATTATCTCCCCTTATAGAAAAATCTTGTCCGGGGCATAACTCTAAAACTATAAGAGATATCAACATGAAACTTTGTAGGTGAATAGATCTCAATGGGTAGATGTGCAGTGCATAAGAACAATAACTCTTTTTGTCCTAATTTTTGGAGTTATTGCCCTTTGTTAATTTTTAACACTTTGAACTTTGTCCTGGAACATAACTCTAAAACTATAAGAGATATCAAGATGAAATATTGTAGGTAGATAGATCTCATTGAGTAGAGGTGCAGTGCAAAAGAACCATAACTCTGTTAAGCCTCATTTTTTAATAATCTCCCCTTTAGAAAAATCTTGTCCAGGACATAGCTGTAAAACTATAAGAGATATCAACATGAAACTTTGTAGGTAGATATATCTCAATGGGTAGATGTGCAGTGCACAAGAATCATAACTCTGCCTTGCCTAATTCTGGAGTTATTGCCCTTTGTTTATTTTTACTTTTTGAAGTTGTCCGGGACATAACTCGGAAATCATAAGAGATATCATCAAGAAACTTTGTAGGTTGATAGATCACATTAATTAAAAGTGCAGTGCAAAGAACAGTAACTCTGCCTTGCCTAATTTTGGACTTTAAACTTTTTCCAGGGACATAACTCTAAAACTTCATGAGGTGTACTTTCCTGTGTCCAAAACCTATTCGGGGAGCATCACCCGGCTCAAACCGGGCTCTTGTTTCATTAAGTTCGGTAAAATTCATCAATGCAATGTTTGAATAATAATAAATATCTCATATTCCATGTATTCAGGCAGCTGTCAGTGTTAGTTAATGAGCGACACACGGCATTTGCTCGATTAAAAACTGCTGAGGATCTATTGGAGGCAATAAGGGCGGAGAATGAAGTGTTACATCATAGTTTGGCTATTGGTCAGACAGGTACGGGACATAGACAACCTGGAGATCATTCTGGTAGGTGCTCGCATATCTAAAGATCTTAACTCATTTTATCACATACCTGTGCTGATTTTGAAACTCCATAAAAATGGTATTGCACGGATGTGCATATATTCTTATGTGACTTCATTTGCGTTTTATACAAACATAGTGTAAAGATGGCTGAATGTTAGCATCGAAATAAAAAAAAAAAAAAAAAAATGTCAAGTTGATGTCTGAATTTCTTTAAATCATCCTGGTAAATAAACATTTACAGAGAGCAGTAGGAAACTTATTAAATTGAGAAAACTCAGTTAATGTCAGTTAATTTTTATGTAATATTTTTCATATTATTTTCTTATTCTGGCATTTTTGTCTTTTCTTAAAATATGTGTTCACTCATGAGAAGTTTGTTTCTTTTTTTCCAGGTAAAAGTCCCGATGCCCTACAGGCGGAGATGACCCAGCTTGAGAGTAAAGTATCGCAACTTACGCGAGCCAATCAGATGATGGAGGCGGAGCTTAAAACCATACGTGTTCAACTAGATGCCAGAGATAAAGCATTAAAGGTAACGTTTGTCATGGGTTCGAGCCCTACTTGGGTCACGACCATGTTTCTTCATATGACACCAGTACTAGTTGGTTCCAGGAAGCCGACTCGAAAGTGATTAATATATGTTGCAAGAACTTAATTCACAATCAAGCTTAAATATATATGTTTAAACCAAAGGTAACCATACTTATTTCAATGTCACCATATTGTCATAAAAATGTGTTTGGTGTTACTTAACCCTGAACCTTCTTAATTTTGTGCAATGGATTTGCCCTGAGCTTTGAATTTGAAACAGTCCATTTAGAAAATTTGGGGATTTCAATATTGAAATAAAGAAATTGAGCTACTAATGTATGGAGCTTGGTAAGACTGCCTGAATGTACAGTTTGGCCGGCTCTAAACTGGTAGCAAGGGTTATCACTTTTGACTTGAGCAGGTCCTGGGTTAAAACCCAACAAAATAAATGTTAGCTGACTTTTGTTATTTATTGCCTATATTAAGAGACATAGTCATAAGCATTCTGTTATTACAGGATGTACAAACAGAGCTAGATTTGGCCTACAACAGACTTAAAGGAGATGACAGTGAAGACAGAAAACAGGAAAAAATAGATAAACTTTCTGCTCAGGTATTCAATATTAACACTTATTATTACAGGAAATTGATTGACCTTTTTAGTTTAAATGTTATTTTTATTTTATTTCAACAAGTATGCAGCATATTTGAACCATTTTGAAATCTGCCTCGTAGTATTTGTATCATGTGAATACTGTGTTAGTGGCCCAAGTAGGATTTGAACACAAATTACCTTGATAGGAAGGCAAGACACCTGTATTACTAAAGCACCTCTCTCATTGATTCTTGCAATGGCAAAGAAGGCAAGTTTTTACTGCTCAAGCCAGTGCTAGGGGGCATGAGGGATGTTGCACTTTTTCATTATCCCTCATGTACAGGTTAAATCAAACTGAGTCTGCAATTTTCATATAATTTTGCTGATTTTAATACTTCTGAAGCATCACATTTTTCCAGATATTTATCAGGTTAACATACAGATAAGCTAACATAAATGTATGGGGGCTTAACCAGACACAGAATTGTCTGCTGCTTAATTTAAGTACAGAGATTCATAAATCCTGGCCTCATGGTTATAAAACTTTTTTTTTCGAGGTCTGTCACAAATATTTTGATATTCATTGGTCATCCCGGAACATTCTGTGACAGTTTCTGACCAATCAAATACTTGACATCTGAGTTTGAGCATAGAGAGTTTACAGTAGACATATGCAATATCTATACAGTTTCATACTTAAAGTAAGTTTTTAGTGGTTATAGCTGACAATTTTGGCTTGTTAAATTACATATCTTGTCAATGAAGGGAGTGGCTATCACATGTTTATGATTTGGAGGAAAAAAAATAAATTGAGCTTGTCACTTTTTATCAGAATACAAGAATTACAGAAAATGTTGTATGTTGTCCATTTAACCTTGACCTTGATTACAGGTGAGCAGTCTTCAGGTAGAATTAAAACTGATAACAGATAAATATACAAGTATGATGTCGGAGAATACAAAACTGGAGTCAGAGATAAATAGCTTGAAAAGGCAGACGGGTTCACAAAAAACCAGGCACTTGAAATCGGAACAGACTGATAACAAGGTATTGCTTTAGTAATATGCCAAAAATTTTAGACCTTTTCCTATTCATGCTTAACTCAGTAGGTAGAGCATCAGATTTTGTAATCAAGGGGCCGCTGGTGTGATCTTTGGGCGAGGTTGGTAATAACTGGTTTGTTATCAAGGAAAGCCTCTTAGGTAGCTGGACCAACAAGAATATGACCAAAATTGTGTAAAAAGAAATCATATAATCAATCAAAATATTTTTTTCATGAGGAACAATTATCTTGTTTTGAAGAACATTAAAAGTTTTCTTTCTTTTCTACTACTTCAAGATGTTTTTTTTAAACAAATGAGTTAATGTTTAGCAGTTTGTTGCGATTTAATGTATAATTATTGTGTACCAGGCTATACAGCAGTTAAAAGAGGGTATAGAAGAAAGGGACAGTAAGTTAACCAGTCTAACTAAACAACTTGACGATCTTGAAAACCAACTACAGAAAACCAGACAAGATCTATATATAGAACAGATGCATACAGAGGAACTTGAGTCAGAGGTATATTTTATAGATAGACTGTAACATTTTGAACATTTATTCCTTAAAGCAGTGTGCCTCCACATGCAGGTGTATTTTTGTGACTATTTTGCAAATGTATTTTGAAGTAAAATATTTTGAAGTGAATAAAGAAAGTAATTTACACATTTCAAATGGCATTTACAATCAACTTAAATTACCAAAAAGGGTAAAATATAAAAAAAAAAGCCCTTACTAAATTTTTAAAACTTTTTGGTTTTTTTGTTTTTTTTTAATTAAATCCTTTTTTTTGGGGCCGACCAGAAAATATAAATTGATTTTATTTTTGGTATTTTTTTTGTTTAAAGAGAACTTTCAAGCAAGTGGGGAAAGGGGTTTTTTTGAATCCTCGTCAAATGAGAAAAGAAATGGGCCCTACCAATTTAAAGGACCCTGGATTTCCCTGGCCCTTGAAAAAACAGCCAGGTTTCGTTAACATTCGTTACTATTAATTTTTTGACAATTTCATTATTTTCTTTTTTTCTTATCATTTATTTTAACCCCAAACTGAATTTCAAAAGTTGAAGATGATTTTTTAATTTTGGTTTTCCGTTCATATTAACATTTTTTTCTTTTGTCCGGGGCCCCTGAGATAATGAAAAATAAAAAACTTGTTAAATAGAAAAATATTTGGGTAAAAAAGTGCGGGGGAAAGTCTTGTTTCCCGGGTTTGGGGTATTCACTTTTACCTTTGGGGTTTAAAGAAAACAAGACTATCTTTTCTGTTCCAAAACCCTTGTTCAGGGGGCATCACCCCGTTCAACCGTTTTTTGTTTTATCTGATATTAAGAATAATTTATTTTTTCTAATTTAAACTAAAGGGACACCACTGAGTTTTTTTTGACATGACAGGACTGGAAATAATTTTTCAAAATTAATGTTCCATTTGATGAAGGTCTAGACCAATAACTTGTGTGCAAAATTTCATCCACTCACTTTGTTTTTCCAGAATATAATTTTACTTGTGAAAAGTAATCCAAAATTGAAAGGCTTTGGAATGTTTTTAATTCAAATCGGATTGAAATAGCACAAAAATATGATTTTCAATTTATTTGGTGTTTATTTCTTAAATACCTTTTGAATATCTTCTTGTTTTAAGTACCCCAGTTGATCTATGTAGGAAATTTAAATTTTATGCTTTTTAGGCTTTACAATAAGACTACCTTATGTTTGCAGTAACTAAATGTTGTAAATTAGCTTTGTCTTTCCATATTCTATAGATAATATCTTTGGACGTCAATCTGAGTGGAGCACGGGACCGTTGTGTAGAGTTAGAAGAAGAGGTCAGGCGACTACGTAAAGTTAACTCGGGAGATAGCGAGGATCAAGAGGCGTATACTGAAGATGAACAAAGCTCCGCCCACCAACTTAAGATTAAAGAGTTGGAGAAAGAAAGATCTCTTCTTAAACAGGAATTAGAGGTTAACTTTTTTTCACCACTTCGATTTTAAGATTTAAGAATATTGAATCAAAGAGTATTAAATAAAAGTAAACATTACAATTGTCCTACATGTTATAATGAAATAATATTCAAAATGAAAAGCATAAAATTATAAGTAGAGTATAGTTTACTAACATGCGGTTATTTTACAGCAAGCGTTATAAAAATCTGGTGAAATACACATCAAATGAAAGCACCTGTTTTGTTTATTTGCTTGTGTAGATTACATTTACAGCAAGAGTTTAAGAACAGTATTTAATAGACACTTAGATTTAAATTACAAAGTTTATTTGCAGTACAAAGTATGTTTGGTAACTTGTTAACATTTTATTTTCCAGCAAGCCTACAGTGCTATTCAAGCATCAGAAGAACAGTACCGTACACTACAAACTGAGAGCGCCCAGTTAGAACAAGAACTTGTGAAGGAGAAGACTGTGATATTACAAATTACTGCTGAGAAAGGGGAGATAGAGCAACATTTAGAGGTATGCTTGTCTCAAATAGAACAGTGAACTCTGTCAAAATTGAAGCTGTTTCCTTCAGTGTGGCTGTAATTTGACAGTTCATGCTGATTTATTAAACCAAACCAGGCACATCCATGCTGCCTGAACATGATCCGAACAGTCTTGTTGATATCTCAGTTTTGATAAATCCTGAAAATTGATAAGTTTTGATAAATCCTTGTAAGTAAATATAACTGTTCCAATATTTAAAGGAGAGCATATCCATTCCATTAAGTAAGTGAGGAAAATGGAAATAACCTTGTATAGATAATTCTATTTAAGGGAACTTTAATTCAATTTTTAGTATCCTAATGATTCAGGGGTCTTTATCTTAGCATGAAAATATGGTTTTGAACTCTGATAGGGGTGAAAGGCTATGTTTTCATTATATGACGGGCCCTTTTAAATATGTTCTTTGAAAGGATAGAATAAAAAAGCACAAATTGATAAATAATTTTTTATTTTTAAGTGAGGGAATTGTTTCATTTTTTTGATTTTTAAAAATATACATGTTCAAAAGTAAAATTTCCCTTCATTGTAAAACCCTTTTGGGCAATTTTTTCCCCTTAAATTTTTTCCCTTTAATTTTTTCCAAACGAATATTTTTTTTTATTTTCCCAAAAACCCCCGTGCCGGGTTTTGCAAAATCTGCAAAAAAAAGGGATTTCCCCGGCCCTGCATTGTATTTTGATATGAAGTCATTTGCAATATATAAACATAGTGTATGCATGCGGCGCTAAATGTTAGAGTTACACTATAGGCACATCAGTAAAAAAATGATTTTTTTTCACTATCAGCAGTCTTTATTTTGGGTATGTGATAAATAGAATATTAAATTTGTGTAGGCTCACTATGGAATTAATTGAACTCATTGAATAAAATAATATGTTCTTTTTCACTTGCAACAGTCTTTATTTTGGGTATGTGATAAATAGAATATTATATTTGTGTAGGCTCACTATGGAATTTCATGAACTCATTGAATAAAACAATATTATGCTTGCCAGAGGTTTGCATAATATATTATCATTCAACTCTTTCATTAAAATCAGTACTGAACTTACACCGATTCATTATACTCTGTTTCATATTTTGTTTAAACAGGAGTTGGCAGAGGAGCATGAATCATTGATACAAGAGAAAACCCAGGCCGAGGAAGATTTGATCAAGCTGGAAACCAAACTACAGGAAATACTTCAGAAATATGAAACCCAGGCCAGGAAACAGCACAATAACTTTGAGCAGGAGTATCCAGGGCTGCCTCCAGAGGCGAGAAAGGTAGTTATTGTATATGTTTTTGTATTATCAGTGGTTATCTTGAATGTATGATTGTTCTTAATGTTAGGTAACTTGACCCTGTCCTACAATATGCCCTTAAGTAGATGAGAAGGTTGGGTGGGCAGTTTTTTAAAAATTATTATTGATTCAGTATGGGTCAGAAATAATGCAGGGACATATACAGTACTTCCTCTTCATCCACTAGAAAAGCAGCAGTCTGGGTATATAAGATTAATAGCGACTTTGTTTAAGCTTAGATAGGGAAACTCTTTATTAAAACATGTTACAATACAATTTACTCATGACTAGATAGCATGTTAAACATTTTTCAGATAACTGTTTATACAACTTTTGTTTTATGCTAATTGCAGCTTGTGACAGAGATGGAAACTTTAACATTGATACTTGATGGTAAAGAGAGAGAAATGGGCATGCTAAATGATAAAATCAAGTAAGTAGCAAATAACCAGAGGTCAAAAGGTCAACATATCAGAAATTACCAAACTCTTCTTACCCCAAATTCGAATTTGCCCAGCCCAGACTAAAACTTATAAACTTTTCGAACTTCATTAATGTTTATGCTATAACTTATGTGTAAAAAAATTTAACATAAATTTTTTATCATTTGTCATACTGAAATTTGACCTTGAACTTATTTAACCTTGACCTTATAGGTCAAAGGTCAAATTTAACCATCATAACTTTTTTATTTAGTAAATTCGGGCTTTCGAGGCATCTGTTGCCGAGTGGTTAAGGCCGTTCACTTCACGCCACTTGCCCCTCACCGATTCTTCAAAAGTCTTTTGATTCCTCAGTGTTTAAGGCCAAATTATGTAGCTTATGGAACTTTGGTGGTTCTACTAAGGTGCCCAATCGTGTTTGAAATAATGCAAAGAGGGTCTTTCTCCAACAGTAAAGCTGAAAAGTCATGTATACATATGTACAAGCATTTTAAACGTGCAATCTTGTTCTAGAAATATGATTTTTTTTAATGGTTTTACTTTTTATATCTTTCCATCATTTAAATTATTATCTTATTATTTATATTTAGCCGTCAGGTTATAGAGATAGATTTTTTACATCGTAAAGTGGAGCTAGTACACAATGACAGTATAGCAAATAGAGAAGACATAGCTAGAATGATCTCAGAACTCACTCTCAAGGTAAAATAATTGTACAACTTTTTCCTGTATAATAGTGAATTTAATTTATATTAATTCCATAAATAGTATGGCATGATTGTGCATTTATTTTGATGTGAATTAATATGAGTTATACAGATGTTATGTTAGTGTTACAGTATAAGCGCATTAAGGAAAAATGATTCTTTTTTACTGTTAACTTTGCTTTTTTTCTATGATTATGAGATAAGAAACTATGAATGCTACAATCTACCAAGCTAAATACACACAAATTGTTGATAATCTAATGATATTTGATTTCTTTCTTCATCATTGTTATTTCTCCTTAATAATGAGCCTTGGACATTAAATCTAATAGTCATTTGTTTGTCACCAGTCAGCTGGGATTAGCGGTCGGTCAATGGCATAAAAATTGATAATAACTGGTTAGTTATCTAGGAAAGATCGTTAGGTGAAGCGACTGTCAAGATATGACTCAAATACACATGTAAAAGTTTGGTATTAAAAAAACCAGAAAAACAAACAAACATTCATGGTTATTAAATGTTTATCAACAAAATTTTATTTGAACAGATGAAAGAAGCAGTATCAACAAGGGAGGTAAATCAGTTTCTGGTAGGGGAGAGAACTAAGTTACAAAACGAGAAATCTCACCTAGAGAAAGAGCTTGAGATTGAGAGAAAAAACAACGATGAGAGAAAGGTTGAGATTCAAGATGTCATTAGAAAAAGTAAGCCAAATTACTCCCCAGTATATACAGTTAATTTTCAAAATTTACAAATTTACCCCCAATTTCAAGTCAATACAATATGTATTACTCCAAAAATAGACCCCTCATCCCTTTGGGCCCATGAATCTTGTTATGGACATTGGATTCTTTCATTCATCTGGTGGTTCAGCTTTAGGTGCATGCTTGAAAAATAAATTAATGAAGGGGGCATTTGGGGCCTAGTTTTTACCAGTAAAGCTGGAAAATTGCTGTAGGACCTTTACTGTGTTAGTGTCACAATTAAGATGGAAAAAAAAAAGAAGAAAAAAATGATAGTAAAAGGATTGTATTTAGAATAATCTTTTCAACTGGTTTAAAATTATATTTAATTTAACAATTTCATATTGAACTTTAAACTTGACCTTACTCAATGAATAAGATATTTTAATGAAAACTTATCAAGTGTCTTAGAGCACAATGATGGGATTTTTGCGACTTGGTTTTTTTGTGTGTGCAGAATTAAAACTTTCTGTCTTTTGTTAAATTTTTCAAAATATTTTGGGAGAAAATGGTATTGTTAATAAAATCATAACTTCTTTCTTCATAGATTGAGGAGAACAGAGAAACTAACTCAAAAATCAACGAAAAAAGATTCAAGGAACAAAGACAACGCAATATTTAACTCTTAGAATCTGATTTACGAAATACAAAACATAACTTGACAGGGATGGAATCTGAAGTAACTCTGTTAAGAAAATAAAATGGATAAATTAAATGAAGACTTGAAAAATTTAACGGGGTATTAATGGGTCTCTAGAGAAAAGACTTGAAAATAGAAAAGAATTCTGTAAGTAGTTGTTTCATTAAATTAAAACTTGAATTTTGTTTGATTGGTTTTACTATTATTTGGACTTGTTATTTTAGGTGGTAAAGTGTAGTTTTTCCAAAAATTAGCTTGGGATTTAAAAATATCTATTTCAATTTTCAATTACTTAACAATCTCTATGGTAGTTTCTCCACTGCCGGATCAGATCAACTTGATTTGGTCCCGATCAACAATTAAAATTCCGCGGATAAGCCTGACAAAAGCTGGGGATTAAATTGCACATTCAACGACTCCTTACACGACCTCAAGTCGACCCTAACGATGTTTTACGACTTCCGACGACAACCCCAACCAAACATTTCCAAGACTTTTTCTCAATCACCCCAGAAACCTTATAACCACTAATCATACAAAAGATCTCAATAACCTCTGTTATCGTTTGCCAGATTCCACTGACCAGATCGTAATGATCCGTAATCGAGTCGTAATAGTGGTGTTACAGGACGGGTAAGAATGTTATCTGAAACAAAACTAAAATCGTTACACGATTTATTCCTTCAATCAACTAGATCTTCTAACTCGATCACTTACACGATCGCTTCTCGACCACTTATCTACTTGATCGCTAGCTGAAATTTTTTACATGTCCAAAAGAAATCCGGGTAGGAAAGCCTGAGCCATTGCCGACAGAGGTAGGACCGCTCCGACCCAACCCATCACGGCATGCAACAGTTTAGCCTAGACCGCGGTACCGCGATTGCTTGATTCGAGTTGATTGAACGGCGGTGAGAAACACAGCATAAGAAAAGAGGAAAAGATTTAAAAGTAAATGTTTTCAATTGTTAAAACGTTATTGCTATCACCAAGTTAAATTTAACATATATGATGTGTTAACTTTGTTCTGTTTACCGTTTTCTGTTATACAATGTTACAGTTTCTGTTTAGTTTTTGATGTTATTTACAGCTAGCAGAGGAGAAAAGTTTCAGTCTCTAAATGGATGGAAGATTAATAAAAATATTGTCACATAACTTTGAAGTTTTACAGCACGATCATACAGTACTATGTGATAAATACCAGTCTGAGCTAGAAGTTGTCGACAAGCTAAAAGTTGGTATTCTTTTATAAGTTATTTTACCAGTTTTCTTAAACTATTCTTTTTCTGAATGATTATGTTGCGCATCCTATGCGGAGTAGTTATGGTCATTGACTTCTGATTCATTGTCCCCTCACCCACTATGTGTTTGAATCCTGACCATTGACTTTGTATTCTTAAATGGGAGGAAAACTATCCATTCTAACCTGTTCTACTTAGGTGCCCGTTCATGCCTGAAAACTATGCCAGGAAGCGCACCTCAAGTCTACTGGTAAAGCTTAAAATTCAGTATTTGACGTTTTAAAAATGTTGGTGCCACATAATAACATAATGATTACTAGTATTTGTTATCTGTGACCAAGAGGTTCAAGGTCATTGACTTCAAACAACTTGCTCCCTATCACTGTAGGCTCAAATCCTGCCAGGATATTTGATTCTTTCAGTTGAGGAAGCTGTCCTGTTTGCCTACGTTATGGTTTCTTCTCAGGGCTTGTTTGTGTCTGAAATAAAGCAAAGAGGGGGGGGGGGGGCATGTGATGGCATCCTCCACCAGTTATGCTGGATAGTTGCCATATGACCTTTACAGTTTTGTTGGGATGTAAAACCTAGCTAAACAACTTTTAGATTATTAAGAAGAGTAATTTTGGTCATATATTTTATTAGATTAAGTTGCTGTAAAAAAGAGACAAAATTCAACCACCATAATGACATAAATTTTTTTATTTATAGTTGAATAGTATTAAACATTTTTATGAAAACATTTTGATTTTTTAAATCATGAAAAATAGTTACTACAAGTATGAAACTATACATGCAGTGATGGTTCAATAGGACATTAGTTAAAAGTTTAGTTACATCATCAACAAAAACACTTGATGTCGTTCATTTAAAATTACAACATTCCATGGTATAGTTGAATGTATAAACTTATTGAGAATTAAAAAGTTTTCAGAAATAGTTAAGAATTGAATCAGCATGCCTTCTATAAAAATTCAAAAAATTGGTTTGGTTAGTAACAATTTTGAAATAAGTACAAATGAAATAATTTGACCTAGTCTATAGCACTGATAATCAATATAAATATTCCTTTCGTTAATTTATATTCCTTTAAGGTTATATTGCCTTTATAATACTGCACGTTTGTAACATCATTTTTCATTGGATAATCGTGACGTTTATATAGTTTTTTTATATACACGGCTACTGTCGATTCATGAAGAAAACTTACTTTTTTTCTCTAAAAAAATGATGCTTGCTTCGTTATAAAGATTGTTTACAGGTATGGCTGTATATAAACGGCTGTTATATTTACAAATAGCCATTTATATAGGGCCTGTCAACGATCTTTATAACTAATAATATAAATGTTTATTTGCAATTTAGCCCTTGTCTAGTGGCTTAGGTTATTTTTACAAAAAAAAAACAAAAAAAAACAAAAAAAAACCAAAAAACATTGATATAGGGGTTGCTTATATATAAAACCTGAAAATATTAATACTGAATGATATAACTTGTAGAGGGATCTGGAAGAAAGAGAGGGGGAGTTATCTAACATAAAAGATGAACTTAGTAACACAAAGGTCGAGTTAGATAGTAATAAAGGTCAACTACTCATTACCAAGGATACAGTACAGAAACTTACACAAGATAAAGGAACCATTTATCAAGGTAAACTGAAAATATCCACATGTTTAAGTTGTGTAAGGCTATAAATTATAGTTTGTTCATTTCTTTTAAATTGTAAACTGTTCTTCTTTTTCACATTTTGTCATACCTTTTATGTCCTTACATTTATCAATACAGATAGGAGTGTTGTGAAATGAATCTTTGCAGCATTGTTTCTCCCCCTTATATTGAGTGACATCAAATAACACTGTAAAGCGTCTCCAGCTCTACCTTCTTGTTCCATGCATTTTCCGAGAAGATTTATGGCTGTTTCCCGATGTCCAAGGTTTGGTTCCTCTTTTATAGTTCTGATTAGTTTGAAGAGACCAGCATGTTTCTGGTTATGTCTTCCTAAATGGCTGTAAATTTTGTATTGTAGAAAGTAGAGGTAAGGGAGAGAATCCACCACAGCATAATCCATCCATTCGTTGTCTCTTTCTGTACGAAACATTCTGTCCTCTTGTGTAGATCTAAACATTTCATATCTGAGTTCAGTGGGTATACAGTGAATTTCACATGGTGTAAATATAACACAAGATGCTGTTGTATACTGTAAGACCTCTTCATTATAATTGACACATAATTCATTGAATCCTCGTCTGTATGGTTCCCCCACAAATTGATAACAACAACAGACAGGTTCAACAATTTGTAGATCATATCCTTTTTCAATCTCACAGAGAACCATGTCAGCTTTTTGTATTTCTTGAGCACAGTATAAGATTGAAGCTAGTTTAAGTTTACTTGATGCAACATCTGTATTCAGACCAAGTGAGATGAGTTTGAGGGCATCTGCTGATACAGTGTTGTACTGAAAGATGTTTAGTGAAGCCAGGACAGATCCAAGTGTTGTACAATACAATGGTAACAGAAGAAGACTGGCTGTCTTATCCAATCCTTCATATTGACTGTTGTATATTTTTGAAACATAATTCTTTAATATTCCTACAGCTTCAATAGGACTTCTGTCCTTAATATGATAATATGTAAGTATCATTCAGTGTCTCAGATATATCAAAAGCCAGATTAAATAATAGTGTTCCTGAAATGATATCACCTGTCTTGATTGTACATAAGTTATAAAACTTGAGATGAAGCCTGGAACCAAGATCATCACATTTAATCCCAAGTAGTGCCACTCCTTCACTGTTGATGATATTGTTGAGAATTTCCAGAATATATGGTTTAACTGCAGGTGAAATTTTTCCCCTCATTAAATTGTTCCCAGGAATGATAAAATGTGGACAATTTTCATTAATGATATTGTTGTACAGGAGATATAAACATAGTGATAGACAAGAAAGTAACTTATTTTCTCTCCAAATGTTAGAATGTGTATTGGATATACAGTGGAAGAGTACAGTTTTACACATAAAACTTGTAATAACATCTTTAAACAATGGATTTATAAATGTTTTTAAAATAATTTTCATCAAGACATAACAGCGAATCTGTGTAATATTCAGATTGAACATTAAACACCTTTCTGCTAAAGATGTTGATATTCTCCATTCAAGTTGCTCATGTTCACTGCCACTACATCCAACAGGAACAACAAAACATCCAGTTCTGCTGCAATATTGTTTTATTTCAGCAGACGGCCATTGACCTTCACCTTGTTGATCCAACCATTGTCTAGCTTGTCGCGGCCATGTTGTACAATGTAGAGCTAATACTTTATCTGCATCATAGTAGCCTGGTAGCCCTAGTTGTGCTCGTGCTGGCCCATGTGTTTCTGAACCAAAACTAAAAAAAGATATTATAGAATTCTTTAAAAACAATTTTCCTGTTCTGTCCTTGAATAAGTATTGATCAGATTCACCATCAGCAGGAAGAGGAGCATCAGATCTCAGGACTTGAAGTAAACAATATCCAGGAGATACAGAATTATCTTGAATCATCAAATGATTATATGAGCCAGGTATCCAATCACTCCAGTCTTGTATCACAGGGAATTTTTTAGTACAAATAAGATTATCTGTGTCTGAATTGATTCCAATTGTAGTTGAACCTTCTGATTGACTCCCAAAATAGTATGTTAAAACATTTTCATCAAGTAGTTGGTGATTTATATTTGATATTGATTCAATCAGAAGCCATATTCTTCTTATTTTCATCACTATTCTCTTATCAACACCTATATCAGCCAGAACCTCTGATAATCTCATTGACACAGTCTGGTTGTAATTTGGTACTTGATACATTCTGAAAATATTATTATTGTTCTAAAATATTATAAAGTTTCTAATATATTTAATTTCATTATTTCTTTTTCTGATTTTCTTACCTAAGATAATAATTGTTTATTGTTAAATTATGAAATTTTCCTTAATAGAAAACTGTTTTTATAATCATCTTCATCATTATCAATCTTTGTTATTTTATATTGTATGATAATATGTTGAAGATGATTTTTGTGTTGTGAAAATCAGTTTATTGTCTTTATTTTTTATATGAAATGAAAAATACAAATACAAAACTTTGACATCATTTTAAAATATATATTAATGGTCAGTTGTCAGTAGTATAGAGTAATAAATTAATACCTTTTTGTTTATATCTGCAGAAGATTTAAGATCATGAAGTCACTAGATTTTCAATGTTTAAAAACAAAACAATTTTTTTGAGAAATTTTCCAAGTGTTAAGAACTAGGATGTTGGGTTTTACTGACCTTAAGAAGATAACTGTCTTCTACAATCACTTTATATCTGACATTTGTTATCTCCCTTGGATGATAAAAAGTTTTTTTGACAAGATAATTTGTATTGTTTTTCACAAATAAATTCTGATGTGCCTTTATTAATTATGCCCCCACTTCGAAGAAGAGGGGGTATATTGCTTTGCACTTGTCTGTCCGTCGGTCCGTAGACCAAATGGTTTACGAGTGATAACTAAAGAACCCTTAGGCCTAGGAACTTCAAACTTGGTATGGTGATTGGTCATGACCAGCAGATGACCCCTATTGATTTTGGAGTCAAGGGGTCAAAGGTCAAGGTCACATTGATCTTGTAAGCAAAAACGGTTTCCGATCAATAACTAAAGAACCTTAAGGCCTAGGAACTTCAAACTTGGTATGGTGATTGGTCATGATCAGTAGATGACGACCCCTATTGATTTTGGGGTCAAGGGGTCAAAGGTCAAGGTCATATTGACTTCTTAGGTAAAAACGGTTTCCGATCAATAACTAAAGAACCTTAAGGCCTAGGAACTTCAAACTTGGTATGGTGATTGGTTATGACCAGCAGATGAAACCCTATTGATTTTGGGGTCAAGGGGTCAAAGGTCAAGGTCACATTGACCTTGAAGGTAAAAACGGTTTTCGATCAATAACTTTAGAACCCTTAGGCCTAGGAACTTCAAACTTGGTATGGTGATTGGTCATGACCAGCAGATGACCCCTATTGATTTTGGTTCAAGGGGTCAAAGGTCAAGGTCACAATGACCTTGTAGGTAAAAACGGTTTCTGATCAATAACTAAAGAACGCTTAGGCCTAGAAACTTCAAACTTGGTATGATGATTGGTCATTGCCAGCAGATGACCCCTATTGATTTTGGTTCAAGGGGTCAAAGGTCAAGGTCACATTGACCTTGTAGGTTAAAACGGTTTCCGATCAATAACTAAAGAACGCTTAGGCCTAGGAAGTTCAAACTTGGTATGATGATGGGTCATTGCCAGCAGATGACCCCTATTGATTTTGGGGCAAGGGGTCCAAGGTCAAGGTCACATTGACCTTGTAGGTAAAAACGGTTTCCAATCAATAACTAAAGAACGCTTAGGCCTAGGAACTTCAAACTTTGTATGATGATTGGTCATGACCAGTAGATGACCCCTATTGATTTTGGGGTCAAGGGGTCAATGTCATATTGACCTTGTACTTAATGACGGTTTCTGACCAATAACTCAACAACTCAAGTTGCTTTGGTTGATATTTTAATATTACTAAAAATGCTTTTGGTATACACATTTGAAGGTCTTATGTAATATAACAACTTGGCTGTCATTAATGAGGCCTACATGATTCATAAAATTTATGCATATATTATTTGGTAAGATTTGTAATAACTTAAATTGCTGCACACAACCTATGGGGTCACAATAATTATTACCTTGTGACTAGTCATGACCAGTTGGTACTAGATAACCCTTATAAATTGTTTGTTCACTGGGTCAGAAGTCATGCATAATAACCTGATCACATGACTAATTGGCTGCCGATAGGGGGCATACATGTTTTACAAACATATCTTGTTTAACATGCTTTGAATTTGTAATTGACATTACGCCAAAGAAGAGATTGCTCCGCCCACTGATTCACGTGACCCGGTCATTCAGAACCTTAGACAAAACTCGGTACCGACCTTTACAGGAAACTATTATGCCACTTAAGTGACTAATGAATTTACCTTATACAAATTAACATATCTATAACATTTTAATGCTTTTCTTGGATAGTTCAATATATTATGGTATTTGAAAAAGTAACAAATAACTGCATCCATGCATTAATTATGAATAAAACGTTTGGCAAAGATCTTGTTATATTTCTCGTTGACTTCAAGGAAAATGTTTCTGACAAAATATCATTTTAGTTTACAAATTCAAAGATAGTTAAAATTGAAGTAGCGGAACATATAAATAGTAAAATTATATCAATAACACAGTAAGATTTACAAATGTTTTTAGGGTTTAATGTGCGAAATCACTTATATATAATGCATTTGTGAATAATTTGTTAAATTGAATGAGAAAATTGCCCTTGCATACCTTTGTAGTATGATGTATGATTATATGTATATTTGTACATTAGATATGTTTCGTGATAAAACGCAATATTATTCACTTCAAAATAAGTTTAGCATACACCAGAAGGGGAGACCTCGGTTTTAAATTGAAACCATGATCAGCTATGATGTTATTGAAGCAGATGTATCTGAATATTTAATTTTAATTCATTGAGCTTTCATAGAAATATTTAGGCAGGATAATTTCACATAAGATATTCATTGCATATTCTCTCATTTTATTCGCAAGTTCTTTTTATGCCACCGCAGCATCTGCGATGCGGTGGCATATAGCGATTCACCTGTGTGTGTGTGTGTTTGTTTGTGTGTGTGTGTGTTATATAGATTATATAGTGAACTTAAAAAATCTTTTGTGAAAAACCACCTAGTCAATTTCAACCAAACTTGGCTGGATTGATCCTTGGGTGAAGGGCTTCCAAAGTTGTTCAAAGAATTTAATTCCATGTGCAGAAATCTGGTTGCCATGGCAACCAAAAGGAATTATAAGAATAAATTTTAAAAAATCTTCTTGTAAAGACCCAAAAGGCATAGAGCTTAGATATTTTGCATAAGGCATTGTCTGGTAGACCTCTACCAAGATTGTTCAAATTATAGCCCTGGGTCAAAATCGACCCCGCCCCGGGGTCATTGATTTTCACTATATGTACATATAGTAAAAAACTTAAAATACCTTTTGTAAAGACCCATAGGCCTAGAGCTTAGATATTCTGCATAAGCATTGTCTGGTAGACCTCTACCAATGTTGTTTCAAATTATAGCCCTTGGGTCAAAATCAGCCCTGCCCGGGGGTTATGGATTTTTCACTATATGTACATATAGTAAAAATTTAAAAATACCTTCTTGTAAAGACCCAAAAGGCCTAGAGCTTAGATATTTTGCATAAGGCATTGTCTGATAGACCTCTACCAGATTGTTCAAATTATAGCCCTGGGTCAAAATTGGCCCGGGCCCCGGGGGGTCATTGATTTTCCTCATATTTACATAGTAAAAACTTATAGTAAAAATTTAAAAAAAAATTTCTTCTAGCAATTGACACAAAATGCTAGAGGTTAGATACTTTGCATGAAACATTGTGAAGTGAACCTCTAGCAAGATGTTCAAATAATAGCCCTGGGTCAAAATTGCCCCGTCCCGGGGTCATTGATTTTCAATATATACATATAGTAAAAAATAAAAAAAATCTTATTGTCTGAAGTACAAGGCTTAGAGCTTTAATATTTGTTAAATGATATCATTCTATAGGTACTCTACCAAAGTTGTTCAAATTTTGCCTCTAGTGTCAAAATTAAAAGTGAACTTTGATATCAGCTGACCTAGATTTTGACAAAGTGTATTACATGTTGTCCTTTGATGCAGTCATGAAATTTTAGGCTGTGTGAAATATGACCTTCACCACCAAATTCACTAGACTCATTTAGTGCATTGATATATTCCTACTCTGAACTTTTATTGAGTTAACAATAGATTTAACCACTAATCTGATAATAAGAATTAGATATGCATTATGACAATCTTCAATTGTATAGAAACAAAAAAAAATCTGTTCCTACACT